CATCATCCTTATCCTTATGGAGGGTCGGCACAATGTACTCTACCATACACCAACCAGCCGATAAAATAAAATACAAAAGCAGCCAGTAAAATACAAAATGATATTATAACAAACTTAAGCTGCGAGTTTAACCACAAAGTTATTTTTCCAAACAGTGAGTTTATAAAACACAGATGTTGTACATACGAATGAAAATATAATGAAAGCACGTAGAGTTTTGTAAAGAGGAAACGAAGCGAGCAAAAAGTCCGGAGCAAGTTTGCACGAGACTTCCCGCGCGGGACTACACTAAAAGAAATAAAACACACGTAATGTGAATATAGAAAACATCTATACTCTAGTGTTTTGATAAAATTCCAAACAGACCTATATTAGAACAATACAAATTAAGTTAGTGTTGCTTACAAAAATAAACTTATAAAGCCCAATCAAATTAATCGGGCAAAGGTCGAACGCCTTCAGCCAAAAGTGTTACCCAACTTGTACAAATAAATAGAGATAGTATTAATGAAAACATAAAGAAACTAAATCCAAAGCTTTACCAATACATTAATCGAATTAAAGTTAATGTAAATCAAAAAAAAAGACCTTTAAAATGTCAACTAAAAGTAACAACCAAATCGTCCTCAATTTGGTCATATAAAAATTCCACACAAACACATCTTTTTTGCAGAACAAATTTTTATCGTAGTAAATCGAGTAACGTCGGAGCGCTGTAAAAATATTCAAATTTTTCATACATATGAAAATGCTTCAAAAATCCCTATCGCCACGTATGTTTGCTGAATCTAAATATCGTGTGTCGACGCTGCATTCGTTTACATTCCGTTCATTCGTTCAATATTTGCAAACACCTCTGATGATTCATCTCAACGTTTATCAACCCGAAAATATTAACAAATCACAAAGGGAAAAGTTTTATTCAACTTTTATTTTGTACCGTAATTTGCGTTTTTTCAGTCAAAAGTTTACAAAATTACCTATCAACAAAATACTAAAGTAATAAAGATAAAATTAATTCCAACAACAAATAGGACGCTTTCTAAATCATCGTAATAAAATTTATTATTACCATCGATAAATTTAATTTATACTTGCCACCGTAATATTGTACCTTTATTTCTCTTTAACGACCCGAGAAGCGATGTTATTGCTTATTTCCAGCGAATGTAAACAACACCATAAACAAATGCCGTGGCCGAAGGGCGTTATTTTAATAATTCCGCGTTAACACCGAATTTATTCCGAATAATTCCAGGTATTCCGGATATAAATTATGTAATACGTCCTCTGAGGGAACGACAAATCCGACCTCTTTCCGTGTCAAACTGTACGACTTAAGTACCATCTTCGCATTGTAATAATGACCTGGATATTTCCATTTAGTTTGTATTATTTATATATTATTCTGCACTATAAAGTGTTAATTTTAAAAGCTGCAGACTTAAAATTAGATGAAATCTTTATTGGTTCACTTCTTTCTAATAAAAAAAAACAAAGTTAAAAACTCTACATTTAAGGTTAGCTATGGAAATAACGGTACTGGTGAGTAAAAAACGTCCATGTCGCACGACTCGATGCGCTTGCGCCGCTTGAAACAAAAAGAAAACTCGCCTCAATTATTTAACCACCGGTGTTAAGGAACCCGACGTACTATTTTTATCTCATTCCAATACAAAAGTGATAAAAAAGCTCGACCATCGTGATTCGATTACCTCGATATACGAACCGGAACGACCGCTTGTGTCCGATCGTTTCTTACGGGTGCATTCTTTAATGCTACGATTAGAAATGTAACGATTTTCAATTGAGTTTTGATGTTTTTTATCGTACATTTGACCACGATCCTATCAAATGTGGAGATGTTAAAAAATCCATCCTTGTGTAGCCGTGCTCTGACTCTATGATTCGTAGTTTGAAGTATAATTTGACTAACATACTTAGGAAAGTTATTAGTTAAGTTAATAAGTTTTCATACAGACAACAATACTCGTATAGCATAGTTCTAATATAACGATATGAGACTTTTAGACTTTTTATTTCCATATTATTTAACTACTGTAATGTATTTTGTCTTTGATTGTTTATTTCATAGGTGAAAAAATAACAACTGTTTTTTCAGTGTAAGTTAAATTAGTAAAACCAGATTCACCGTCTTTAAAGTTAGATGGATTCTTGCTTGGAAAAGGTAATTTTAATGGTAAAAATGAAAATTAATTAAATAAATGTTTGACAACCCTAGACAGCTCGGTAAGTGATATTGTATACAGCATAGCGAGTACAGACAATAAAAACGTTACGGGTGTATATTTTTCTCCATCTCTATATCAGAACCAGCCAGACCACTTTTATGGCGGTTTTACTGTTCGCAATTTAACTTGTAACGTTATACTTAAGTGCGATGAACAGTCCAAAACAAAATCACATACAAACAAGCACCGCTAAAATAGTAATCGATTCATGAAAGCTAATTTAACATCCCTAATGTTCATTAAAATCTATAAAATCAAATCGCATACGTTGCAGCTTTCAAAGCGACTATTAATTTCCATTTAACTTTGAACTACGTCATAAGTCACTTAGCAACGTTCGTTTTGATTTACCCGGCAATCATTTATCAAGTAAAAACCGATAACTTCATTACTTCTTCGCTTTCCAGTCAGGCCGCGTCAAATATGATACAGTTTTAATCGAATATCAGAAAGCAATTTTAAATATCGCAAGTTGCATCAAAGACTTAAGAATAATTCTCGTATTTTCAATTAATTAGAAACATTTGTCTATTACTTTTTAAAGACTATCATCTTGTTATCCAAATCATTGTGGTTGGTAAAACCATGTATGCCAACCCCACAAAAACGGGATAACTAGACGATGATTCGACATTGGGACAGCATGATTGACTATGACCCAGTCACCTCTAATTTTAATCATTAAATTAATTACAATTAGCATAAAAAGGTATAAAAATAAAAATAGACAATACTGTATTTTAAGGGTGATTTTTGTAGAAACTCACTTTAAAAAATCTCTGTGATTTCGTAATCTATATAATGAATTTGAATATGTTTGCTTTAATATAATTATTAAAATGAATACGGAATTATTAGTCCTCTTTCATCGTTGATAAAAAGAAGCCTAAGAGTAAAAATGAATTTTCAATTTTCATCAACGCTGTGTTTGTATCTTTTAACTTAACTTCGTTTAGTTTTTCATTTTGTTTCACTTCGATATGAGCGGGAAACGAACGTTCAATCAGCATCGAGCAAACGGAATATCGGATATTTTTTTAACATCAAAGCTCTGCTTCACGTGAATTAAAGGTAATCTTGTATTGTTTAAAAAAACAGTAGACTCAAATAGAGTGAAGAGATTACCTTTTTGTTATATTATTATTGATTAGTATTACATCGTATTCATAACTTTAAAGTTATCTGAATTATCCCATCGTTTGAATAATAACTATTTGGTGGACATTTATAACAGAACTAAATGCAGAATTAAAGAAGAGTCACCAGTACTTCATAAACAGGCAATATAATTAGCAGAAAAAGTGTAATTACCGAGTAACCTATTTCATAGGCAAGTTGTCAGGCCTCCAAAGTGTAGTGCCGGGTAGGCCAGGTGACCTAATTTTTACTATGAGCTGCAATGCAGTAATACACCCGTACGACTTTATAAATTTAACACAAACAAAACTTATGACACCCAAATTAAAAACACTCACGAGAAGTCTCGATGTGTGGTTTAAATTTTGTTGAAAAATATACACTCAATTCAAACTTCGTCGTCCAGTGGAACAATATTTTACTTTTTAAATTTGTAATAAAAAATGCATTAGAGCATGCAAGACTTAAATAACATAAGTAATGCTCAAGTAAAAACTATTATGTTATTCTTCTGTATTAAGTAAGGCGTATGAATTGTAACTATGAGCTCGTTAATTGGCGTTTATAACTTCAAACGCTTTTTAAGTCGTCTTTTATAGAAAAGTTGGTGATAAACTATTAAGAGACTTTCATTACACACAAAATTGATATAAAACGCTTATGCATTAATGTCTCCTTAAAAATACTTACTAATTATCTAGTCGAGTCTAATAAGATTTTTTTAAAATTAAAAAACAAACCAAGTTCAACGACCTCAAATAAACCGCTAAATATATTCTTGTACATCCTTGCATAATATACGCTATATAACGCAGAGAATTCCATCAAAGAAATTAAAAAGCTAGCAACACGATCTTGACACTGGCAGCAAAAAGCCTCGCGTACACAAGTCCACACTGGAATAACTTGTTAACCCGGCCGCGTATTACTGGTATGGCTAACGTACACCATTAACGCACAATAAAACTGGCCAATTATAAAAATACCCGACAAAAAAAGTAACTGTCAATTACTGGCAAAAAATGCGTCTGTTATTGGTATTTTTCGAATGTTCTTGATTTGAATTCAATTTAAAAAGTTTGGTATTACACAGAATAGTTAGTTAAACAAAATATTACATTTTTATTAAAATTGTACAAATTTTAAAACTACGAGTATTGTAGTAATTAATTTTAATAAACGAATTCACATGTTTCAATGATTTAACTACGTGACCGGCATTAAAAACGTAAAGCTTGCCATTCATACCGGCCAGTGCTCTGAATAAAGCCACACATATGCATCAAAAGGGAAGCACAGACAACGTAAGAGACTTTTAATTTTCTCATAGCGCTCATATTTTACGAGATATTATCTCATAACCGGCTAATATTTCATATCTTGTTCCTTATTTGACGTCACATTTTATATTAAAAGTATGGAACCGTTAATTAAATAAACTAACCCTGACTTAGTTATTTTTTTTGTAACTAATAAAATTATTATAAAAGAGAAAAAAAGCCAATGGAAAACTAACCTCAAAATAAATTACGTTACTACTAATTAAAGTAAACAAACTCAATTTAAAAACTAAAAATAAAAATCTTAGTAAGAAAATAAATTTACACTTACCGATTATTCTGGAACTTGACTTGGCCATGCGGTCAGAAGATCATTATTTACTATACACGGTATTATTTACGTGAATCTGTTTTAGAAGTATCGCGTTTGAGTAACGGTAGAGAGAGGCACACGACTGGTCCAGTACGTAGTCGGTAAGTGACTGAATGCCGGCCCCCGCTAGCCCACTATCATTCCACTTTCGGCTTATTCTCCCGCCTCCCCGAAGACTAAGATTTATCACTATGATATAGAGCCCTTGCAATCTAGAGATACACTAAGGCTCAGTGTTCACAAATTTAAACGTCAGCGATCGATTAACTAATTTAATGAATGCTTAAGATAAAGGCACTTAAGTTTATAATGTAAAACAATCGCTTGTAATTAAACAAAATTATTGTTTTTTTCTAATTTGAATTAAATTGCTGAAAAAGAAAAACACTCTTTACAGGTAACGAATTGTTTTCAGATCATTTTTTGCCAGATACGAATTAAAAATAAAATTAAGAATTTTTGCTTTAGAGTAATAGATGTTTAGTACAATAGTAAAAAATAGCTAATAGATACGACAGCAAATTTCTCGTAACGCAGAAGCCTAAATACATCATAAGCATAGCCTGGCGCATTTGTATGGGCACCTCGAGCGGACGTCGGGACGCGTTCAATGGACCGAATGCATTGACCAGTTTACTTTGAGACGCTGTTTGTTGAATAAAATATCTATAACCGTTGGGAAAGCTCTCTTTTATTGTCAATATTTTACCGTGACCTATTTCATATTTATTTGTATAACCATAGGTGTTATCACGAATATCTGTGAGAACATTTTCGTAACGTAATAGACATAACTACACCAACAAATCTCTTACGAAATTTGTCAACAATTACGAAAACTTTCTTGCAAACCGTAATAGTTCATTCTGTCAGTAGATTTTAAGAAATTTTGTTATAAAAAGAGGCAAAAAGCAAGTGAAGTGAGCTTGAGGTTTCAAGTAACTTTTAAGTTTACTAGTTTAAATAGATTAATATGTTAAATCTGTAGTTAGATTCTATCTAATACGATAATGCACTAGTTTCGTACGTCCTACACATTTCGTCACCTGCATTTCCCTAATTACGAATACGTGTATGGTCGACATCCGAATTAGATGTGATCGGTCATCGGATTGAATTGAAGCTAATTAATTAACTACAATTAATAATTAGACATCAATAGAATCAGAACTATAGACAAATTAACGAGTCACTATCAAATGTGTGTTGTAATAATAATAAAATAAAAACAAAGAGTTTAATGTGTCTTCATTTTGGGTGATTAGGACATAGTCAACCAGTGCGGGTTAGTTGACTTCACCCATATCTTTGAAATTGTGCAGCTACGTGCACGATTTCCTTGACAGTAAGAACGTAAAATAAATGTACATTTGAATTTCGTAAAAAACATTTCATGTGAAAATGTAGGATTTAAACGCGGAATGCAGAATACTAATCAAGTGCCCTTAGCCAATAACGTTACGTTTTACAAAATAGCCGTTGTACCAGTTATAAAGATTAAGTATCATCAACAAAATTCAATTACCAAATATAACATCTCGCTGAGAAAAGATAAGTTACCCGCGTATTCTGTGTGACGGGCGAACGTAATTCGTAACTTGAGTAAGCTGAAATAAGAAAATTACACATTAATTCCACGAAGCGGGACATCTTTTATCTGGAATTGATTTACTGATGTATTTACGCTAAAGGCAATTCGGAAACAACATCAAAAGGAATTAGTTCGATTTGTTCAAATATAACGAACATTTATTCAAGTTTTACAACAGTAAAACAGTAATAATTTAAAAGAAAACAAATGAATGACATCCCTACTTACAGGACTAACTGTTGCTCGCGACTTCGTCCCGTGAATTTATAAAATATTAGCTGTTATCGTGCGGCTTTATCCGCACGTAATTATAAAAATATAATTTTATTGTTTGCATTTGTCAAATTATCAATAGCAAATGTCAAAATGACACGACATGACAAATCTTAGCAATCTTGCTTTCTTGATGTTGGCAGCAACTTTTGGTCTCTTTCCCAAATTAGGGTTTTTATCCAAAACATTTACCCCCTAAGTTTAATAGCGTGAAAATATATAGCCTAAAGCGTAACGTAAGTGTAGGGCTTATTATTAAAAAAAGGATTATTCAAAATATGTTGTATTTGCGGAGATCTTAGGCAACAAAGAAGTGTGTGTTTACGCTTTATTATAATAGTATAGATATGGACTATGTTACTCACAAATAGTTTAACTTTCTAATGGTGAAAGAATTTTTGAAATCGGCCCAGAATTTTTTGAGGTATTTTAATAGATAAAAAAAATGATTAACTTGAAACCTATCTGGTAGTCGGAAATCACAGGCTCTAACTGTGTATCCTCACTATTATAACATGTATTCAAAAAATGTTGTTATATCAGTCCTTTCAACGAGGATGAGCGAGAGAACAATATGTTTCAGAATAGGTTTTTTGCCAGGAAACATTGTAAGATAATTACTGTAAGATGACGTCATTTTGCTTGCAAAGAACCAGGTCTGAATATTCGAAGCACGTTTAGTCTTAAGTACATGGAAATAGAGCAGAAGCCGCTGTTCTCCATAAATTACTGATTTATTAAAGGAACAGGTACCGCCCGTGGACACTTTATTAACTCAACTATCGGAATAAAATATCGCTTGAATCATCAGTCTTTATAATGAAGGAAATCGTTCGCCTACTTTTACAATCGACTTAATATATCTTATATTCTAGTTATATTATATTATAAAAGTATAACATTAAAACTGTTTAAAACTTGGAAATATCCAATTTTATTACTATTTAACTAGAGAACAGGTTATAAAGCTGGAGTATTGCACTCTAGACTTCGTGGAGCCAGCCGACATAAATTTCCGAGACAGAAATGCTTTCGTTAAGTACGCCATTTCTTTTTCACCGTTATTAAGACAAGACTATAAATAATTAATTATTTTTACTGATATTACTTACCATAGAACTTTACTCGTATGAACACCTATAATAATTCTTAAACGAAAACAATATCTATACTTATAATAAAATTGGAGTGTCTGTTTGTTATATCAAAAGAAAAAATCCAGATTTCGGGAAGATGATGTATTTGCTGATAACGAAAATTGCATTTATTTTTTTTTGTATGTCTGTCTGTCTGTCCGCAAGCCGCATTTGTGTTGGGTAATCTCCGAAACGGTTGGGCAGATTTCCAACAGACTTTCACTGAAGGGTAGCTGATATAGACGGGGACATTATAGGCTACTTATTATAGTCGCGGGCAATAGCTAGTTATTAATATGAGTGTGATGACAGTGGAGTTTTGAGGTTATTTATTCATATGACACAAAATTTTATGTGTAAGATGTAAAAACAGATTACTTATTGAAGCACAATTAAACACTATTTCTGTTCTATTTATTTTGTTAACTTACAAATTGAATTTAATAAGATAGTGTCTTGATATTCCCTTGCGGCACTATTACCATCATTAATTACTTACGATATAAACTGTACTAAAACATTGTTATCTCTGTTTTTTAAGTAAGTATAAGAAGGACAAAGATATATTTCATGCCAGTGTTTTGATATGGAAAATCATGGAGATGCTAAGCTATTTTTAAACAGCGATCGATATGTCTGTTCGAAGAACAATCTAGAATAGCAACCATTCATCATGGATGCATTAAAAATTTAAGGTGTTTGTCGGTTAAGCTTTAAATAAACCATAGCATATTTTAAACAAGAGCTATAGACAGTAGAATTACAAGTTAGGATTTAATTTTAGCTATTGTGTCTGTACTTTTATAACTACAAGGAGCACGGAGCCTACCCAAAGCAAGAGGTTAACAAGGCTGGACCAGCCGGTTGGTTTAGGAATAACAAAATAGGAATTAACAAAATCTCTTTAAAACTGCGCTAATTATAAAACATGTTTTAGCGTCTAAATAACATATAATTTCTTTACGATTTCAAACTTGCTAATATTATAAATGCGAATGTTTAGGTGGGTGGATATTAGAATTATAGCCTAAACTGATGAACGGATCTCAATTAAATTTCGCTTAGATGAACACAGAATACTTGCTTTTTGATTACACGTGGACAGTCGCGGGCGAAACTTAGTATAGGTATAACATATAAAAATACTGTATAGGTACTTATGACTGCATATACACAATGTAAGCAAACCGTTTGGTTTGCGACAAAGTCTTTATAATAGTCAAGAGACTTTGTATAAACTTTACCGCTACGTCGGAAGTCTAGAGCTGGAAACTGTTTCCGAAGCCATTCACCTGTAACTAAGTGTGCCAGGAACCTCAAGGATTAAACTTATTGATTCTAATTTGAAAAACAACGCTTCTAAGTGCAATTTTTGATATCCCAAGTCCAAGTTGTACAATATCAGCAATAAAATTTAGTATGTCTTAAACAAAACTACAACTAAATTACACACATAACAGTGGTAGAGCCCGCTTTAACATCTTCACACGAATAGACGGGCTCGCCCGGTGAAATACCACGACCACACAGAAAACAGGCGTGAAGTGTTAGCATTCCGCGTTTCGTCTGATAAGTGTGGTGGCGGAGGCCTAATTTTGGACCCTTTTTCTTTCCACCATTTTCTTAAGAGGAATGGATGGGAAGGAAAAGTGGATTTGCCGGTAGAAGAGACGCATAGGTAGAGGAAATATCCTCTTTATGTGCGTCTTCTTCCACCGTCGATTAAGGGTATGCAACGCATCTGTAATTGCAGATGTCTATGGGCAGGGGTCGCTACGCAATTTCGGCGGTTTCAAGTGGCCGCTTACTCGTTTGCCACCTTATAATATTAAAAAACACATTACCTTATATACAAATGAAGTACCCCGTTTTTTCTATAAAACCTATATAAATACTGATAGTTTTGTATTCATGAATAATGGTAAGCTTATAAATGAGAAGGACTTTAAGAAAACGGTTTACCAACAGTTATAAATCGGTCATCGGTTTTTACACTGTGATTACATCGAAATCGTGGACATCTTACGGGACTCGGTCACTAAACTTTATATTGATTGTACACTGAGTTTTTTCCCCAGAAGCAGAAGTTACGACCGCTAACTTACTGTATAACAAGTTTCAAACTTAACAACGGCTCGCGGTTACCTTCGAGCTAGACGATGCTAGATGTCGGTGGATGAAAGTGCGTAATTACAGAATTGTATCCTTCCCATACAATCATTTTTGTAACAGAAGGTGTTCAGCAGCAACCATATTTCTCTAAATTTGCAGAGTGAACAACAAGATAATAGATAGTACATGCTTACTTTTAAAAAAGAAAGAAACCTACCAAGTACCCCCTACTTCATATTTTTCCCGCGATATCTAAAATTGTGTGTTTCGATGTGTCTTGTTCGGAATTGTGGGCCCCATAAAGTTTGGATAGCACAATACTGTTATACCGTAACGCTTCGTGACCCATTCGATTTAAGGGTCCAATGGACACCGAGACGTTTTATTGCTTTTTTTTTTAATAAATAACACTGTCATTGTTGCCTTAAGGAGATTTATTTTATTTTTTATGACATTACAAATTTAAAGTCTTTTTATCAATGTCAAATTCAATATAATTTCGACAAAGTTAAAATTATTTCATTTAATTAACTTAAATTCTATTAAAATTTGACTTGTTTTAATCTTACGTTCTTTTAATTTTAAGAGTTTTTAATATATTTATGTCCTGCATAACTTTGTTAGTAGATTTGTTCTCTTGAAATAGACTTAATGAACCGTGTTGGTTAAAATTTGGCGACGCTCCAATTTGCTTAAACCGTGTTAATGTTACCTAAGAGTTTATTAAGAGAACAAGGTCATTAAGTATTCAACTTATAAAACATAACATTAAAAGTAATAAAGCAAAAAATACTACGTAAAGTTCCTTTGATCTTAAACATAATTTAACTTGACTCCAACTTAACATAATTTACTTATATCCTGCGAAATATTAAGCAATTAATTAGGAATTGTTTGCGTTTTTAATGATGAGAGATTTATTTAATGTTATAATTTACTTACACTAAAAAAACACACTTTCAATTAGTTTCTTTTAACATAAATTTGGTGTTATTGAATATTTAGTATAACAATGCTAATTTATTTTGCGAGCTTTAAAATGACAGACGTACTTGCCTAGCAATTTGATAGTTTTAATTACGTTAAATCAGCATATTACAATATTAAAATAGATAACTAATATCTACACATACAAATAAATCAAGTTACTCAACTTAGTCTAAGAGCTTTTCAAGTCACCGAATCATGTCCTTGTAAATTACTATTGAGTAGCAATTTAAACGTCAATCAATCGACACAAAATGACGACTCCTTTGTTAACGAAATTGAACAATAAGTATGATTGACTCGTATATCTCGCTGTTGTAACAACCACTCAAATATTATGAAGATAATAAAAGCATTTGCTCAATACCAAAAATAGAGACTAGAATACTTGATGCGTAAATGGGAACCTCCATTTGTTACTTCAAATGTACGGAGAACAAAAGACTTCGCCCGGGAATCAAACGACATCAAAAGAAAACAAACAGTAGCGATGTCACATAAAAAAATACAAGTATGATATCCCTAAAGGATTCTTACTTTGTGAAGGGGACTAATATTACTCCGATCTACTGATCCGTAAAATCCTTGATGCGAGCTTTCTGTTCTTGATATTCTAGTCAATGTTATACAATCGTTTGCCAGTGGCAACCCACAGTATAACCGTTACTACAAAAACCACGACAAAATTATTATACAGGTAACAAAAGTTAAAATATTAGACACACGTAAGTGCATATGTAATTTAACTTAAATCCTAATCTGTCTGTTGATAAACAAGTAAAATATAATAACATCTAAATCTCAAGCAATTAACCTAAACAGCCTTAAAAGTGTTGAAATTTCAAACTGCTTTTTAATACTTTTCAAACTTTCAACAAACTGGAGTTTATCCATCCTCAAACGGATTAAATCCGACTAATAAGTGTTGCTAAAGTTTCTTTAGAAGCCTCTACTTTGATCCATCTTGAAACTTTATCTTGTGCGAACAAATTTCGCGCTTAAAAGAAGCATAAAAACATGTGAATCAAATTAACAAAAACATATCATCAATTAGTTGTAAAACAAAATTATAATCATATGAAATTGCTTCTCAGTTAAGTGTTTAATTCATAAAATCAAAATCAGCTTCACGTTTATGTTATGTTTTAACCAAAACTATACTGATATAATCAAGATAACTGATGTAACGACATATTTGCCTTGTTATATAAGTCAAACGTAATTATTGCCTAGTTTTGCGACGTTGATTCAAAATTCTCCCATCAATTATAACAATACAGAGGACGAAGAGATCGCTCGTTAAAATTTGCTCCACATAAAATGAGACAATCACAACTGTGACCAAACAACGAGAGATTTCCGTGTCTTCGTGTGATCGCTATCTATGTAGGTTGGATATCTTTTGCAATTATTTAGCGCCATCTAGTGACCCAATTCAAGGATTACTTCAAACCACTATAGCGTGTTGAAACATTATAATACAACACTTATAGCCGGGTTTCCAGCTACATTTAACCGATAGCGTGTTGGGATCAATAATTTCATGAAATGCGTTTCCGAATTAAGAAACTTAGGTCAACCTAGCACTAATGAATCACTAGGTAACCTAAGTCTAATAATGTCGTAGAATAAGTCCGTTTAGTTCGAAGTCAAAACTGTTTTCAATGTGTTTAAAATTACATTACATTCGCATGTTCAGTTGAAGACAGGTTATCTCAATAAAGCTCCATGCGGTCGCACTGAACAAGACTAAATAAAACATTCAAACATTGTACCATTGAATTCATTTTCACCAGGAGATAGCGAAACAAAAGAAGCAGACCAATGTGTATCCACGGCCCTAGTGAATTGAAATACAATCTAACATTCTAATATGAACTTTACGCCGTTAAAATAAGTCTCACATTCCCTGGAGAGAGTCGTAATGGTGACCTCTTATTTGTAACAATGCGACCAATGTTAATTTGCGCCTGCATTTGAAACGATGTGCAGTATTGTCAATTTGTACAGATATAAATGTTAATTGTTGTACATTTCAAACAATTTCAAACTGCAAACATAAGTTTGTCGACCTGTATAGTCTCATAAGGACTTTCTCTGGCACGAATCGGGCATAATTAACGTGGCTAATTAGAGATGCGCCGTGTGGATATTGTCTAAGGAACGGCTGTTGGTACACGGAATTACAGCAATGGTGACGTGACAAATGTACTCTTTATGTTCTCATACAATGTAGTTGAAGAATGATTGAATAAACATTCAAAAAAGGAACTTAAATACGCTACAATATCAAAAAAAAAAGCGCGATCAAGCCTAACGCCAAAACAAAAGACAAAAATCCTAATTTTCGATAATTATTTTAAGCTCTTTAGCTAATTTCATAAACTAAAAACAGCAAGAGTTACATCACTAAAGATTAAATATCTCTATGTTCATTTTATTTAACTTAAGTAAAGAAAGATAGCAATCTCTATCCACGTTTTGAACTTTTAGATACAAAACGTGAGGCACTAAGATCTAAAGAAACAGTAACTAGTACTGTAGTTCCTAGAGTACGTTGGTTAGATAATAAGTATTCATAATTGTTAGGAAACTTGTGCTTTTAAATTGTAAATAAATTCCCTAGAATCTAAGACAAGACGAAGAAAGCTGTAAATAATTTTGATACGTATTACTTTTATGTTTTCGAAATATAACCTTTTTAGAGTTAACCAGGCATAAAAGTAATCAAATTACATCATTTTTGATGATTAAAACAAATGATTTAATCACTGTCAAACTTTTTATACTGTCGACGACTTTTTTATAAAATGGTTTTGATTTAAATATTTACTTCCATAACAAATATAAACACTAGCATTTTGTAAAACTACAGTTGCTGTAAAAATACAGGAATAAATAGAAATTATCTATAGGTTCCGTATCAATTATTTTTTAAGCTTGAAGCAATTATATAACAGAAGGTAAGAGTAATAAAATACCACTTACATATTGTCCTATATTTAACAGAAATGTCATAGAAATCTATATAACGGCTTAGGAACCCAATGAGAACAAACCAAGATTAAAACATATTACTAGTAATAGAGTGAACATTACTAAACATTTTCTTCAAACTAAGCACCATTTTCTGTAACGCTGTCGCTAACAAGTGTTAAATTAGACTACGAAACTGTATCAATTTGTACTGAGGACTTATCACTAATATTCATGAGAACATTTTCGTAACGTCATCAACAAAATCTGTATTAAATTTTAAAGGGTGTTAAGTACACCAATAAACATTATACAAATGTCGATGATGTTACGAATACTTTCTCTCATCTGTCACGCAAATATTAGAAATAGACCCTCTGTTTTATGCACATACGGTTTGGTTAATTAATGTCCCTATTAATTTAAGTTAGATGTTTTTGTTTTTGTAAAGGAGATTTTATATTTTTTAATTTGAAATGTCATGACACCGGATCTAACTTGGCATCCATCACGCGGCTCGCCATTAACTTTCATTGTATTGTTTTCGATGTATTCATAAGTAAAATTTCACTCTTCCAATATATAAATAATGCATACGGCGATTTGTTTGACCATGACCGTGGAATTTACGACTTGAATACGAAATGCAGGACAGTTCCAAATAATTTCTCCTGCGAACACGCATGCTGCCGATTTTACCTTTTGTAAAAACACGTGGCATTGACTCATACCCAAAGCAATACATTGATGTAGCATAATTTTAATTCGGTTTTGTATTAAATATCAATCAAAAAGTCTTTTGAATGTATTCGAACGTAAGTTACAATCAAGAAAAAAAAAACCTATTTGTAATTTGGCAATCACAACCAAAACTTCGTAATATTAATATAATCTTTTTTTAACAGGATTTTTTGTGTAAGAAGACATTGAAATGTCAAACAAATGTAAAGGAAATTCTGTGTAAGTTCACTTTGAAAGTCAGTCAACTTTACAAGTCTATGTATTTTTCTTTAATTAATATTGTATTTTCAGCACCGAGGAGAAGCGACCGTCGCAATGGGAGGAGTTGATGAGGAAGTTTATTGAAGAGCACAAAGTAGAATGCAAGTGAGTTTAAAATAAAATTATTACAAAAAACATTTAAATAATGTAATTATGTTTCCTCAGATTTCTTTCAAAGTACATCTTTGACAATATTATTAGTTCCAAGTATCTTTCAATGTAGAAACACATTCAATACTTAAATGGATTTAAAATTGTTACACTTACCTATAGTTAGTCTGATATGCACCGAGTTCACACACCCGTCCATTTTAATAACTTTTTTCATAATATCTTACGTGAGTTTAACTAATTTATAATCTAGAGCGGTGTCAGTAGACATCCCGAGGGTGACGCGCTCCGCCAAGGAGTTCCCGACAGGCTCCCGCTACGAGGGCACATGGGACGTGCTCGGCATGAGCGGCTACGGAATATACACCTTTCCCAACGGTAATACTATATAACTCAACAAGTCACAACTTGTACGTTGTACAACTTACAAAGTTGGCTGTTCTGTGATCGTAAAACTCTGAAAAAACTCCAAGACGTATTACACTGTTAGTTGAAACTCTTGTTATTTGAATAGCAACGTAGTTTAAAAAAATTAACTGCGATCATTCTTGAATTAAAATTAAAAACAAACGGCTGTACGTTTCTTATAGGTAGGTAAAATATAGATTTACAACAGAAACATAAACCATTAAAAAAAAAACTCGTTTAAGTGAAGCAATTTTAATGAACATCCGAACCAGTACTGTTATGAAATCTTTGAACTGAATTAATTATTTCTCTACGCTGTTGTTTGACATAGTTTTGATTTCATTTTGCATCTTTTTTAATTAACTAGTAAATAGTGTTTTAATCGCAAAGAAATATAATGAACTTCTCTAGTAATACGTACACAATCGTTATACGGAGTTCAACGAAGCTTGTAACGATGTTATAATTATTCAAAGCACAGGGGTTACGTTACGTAACTTGTATCTGCCCTAATTAAACTAATGGTTCGGAAACATGTTTCTGTGTGGCATTTGTTGCGGCAAAGGGCCCGCGTACCCGACGTACCATTTGTTAGACACGGGTGAAATATTTGCCAACTTTGTCGTTCATTTTATTAAATATTTAACTCGCTTTGAGATTAATTTGGTGAGCTTCGGAATTTATGTTACTAACTTTCCAGTACTCTTTTAATGATACCTTCCAATATTTAGTTATTTGTTACATGATCATAGTCATTATAGATCATAGCTTTGTGTAATAAAAATCTTTTTTTAATCTTCTAAATTCTAAACAAATACACCATAACGACTATACTTTTTTATTATTTTTTTAACTATTATTAAAATTATTGAGTAATGACTATTAATTGATCGAACGATGGAATGAAGAATCATTAAGTTTACTTTCAATTATTAAACTAAATAATATTTTTATAGGTGTAATCTACGAGGGTGACTTTGAAGACGGTATGTTCCACGGTCGCGGCGAGCTACGTTATCCATGCGGAGCTGTGTTGTACGGCAAATGGACCCGCGGCGTGCTGGGAGAGAAGACGCTTGCATTCGCCGATGGCCTGGAATATGACGAAGACCTGTGGCCTTACTGTGTTATGCCTGACAGAAGGTAAACTTTTAATAAATAATTAAAATGACAGCTGAATAAAGTAGTCAGGCGTTGATAAAGGTTAGCTTTAGGACGGATAATTTTAAATTATACATATTGTTTGAATAAAAGGCAACATCTACAACATAAACAAAATTAAATTACCACATCCAGCGTTAGAGTCGGACTTTTTATTCTCAAGAGTGTGATACAAGTAATGTATTTCGTAAGAGTACAAGATATTTTTATGTGTTTGCAGTATATTTGGGTTTACAACTTTGTGTAATGTTTATGTGAAAAGATTTCTTTTATTATTGAACTGGAATAGTCTAATAGTATGTATGCTTTAGCATCTAGGAATATTATTTATGCCGCAGCTAGCTAATGTTGCAACAATTTTTTAAGTAAAGCTAAAGATAAATCGACGGAGTAACATGAGCAACCGGTCTCCCTGTAGTCTGCTGAATTATGAACACGCTACTTCACATCGCAAGGAGTGCGGTCCTGTCACAATTATAAATAGCCCCCCCGCCTTGGTCTCTGGTGTGTACTGAAATATGAAAGGAAATATAAAATCGTCTGTTTCCCAGAGCACGTTCATTTGTAACGTAAATAAAATGTTGCCTCAAAATTACTCTCCCGCCACGTGACAAACGGACAGGTATGAATTATTGCGGACCTTCGCCGCACTTCTTACGACCTCTAATTGGTCTGTCTTCTTTTCGTTATTTATGTATTGAAACACAAAGCCTCGTTACTCGAACGGTATGGATTTACGAGTACATGAGCATACGTTGTATTCGAGACTCGCTTCAATGCAATTTTGAGGTTATGAACCAATCCAACAACATTTACAATATAACCTGACTTTTTCCTATGTCCTTCTTCGTTTATTAACCTTTTAGTTTAATAACTTCTTCAGCAACAATAATATCGTCATTCTCAAATGTATTATAATTTATATCTTTTTAATTTTCTGGCTTTCAGATTTACCATAGAACACAACAAGGGTTTGAAGCCGGCCGGAGAATCGTACACGACTGCCGATCAGCCGCCGCGTGAGATACCGGAAGGATACTATGACACTGGAGACGGTTACTTCGATCCAGAAACTAAAGTTGTCTTCAAATATGATGACCTCAATTCTATTGTCAGGTACCAGGATATTACTGCATATCATCGCCTCTTATGATAGTATGTCCTATCTTTTATTTGAGTGGTTGTGTATTCTACTCTTATTTATATACTTATGCACTAAAGAACGGAGCATAAAAGCATCATCATTATCATCAGCTTCCTATACATCCCTACTATGACCTACCCTAAGTAAGGAGTGATAAGGCCATACGTACAATAGAAGAAGTTTTCGTAAAAATCCGTTTTTCAGATATCCATGTGAACTGGAACAGAAATGGGTCGTGGAGCATTGCCGCACTAACCCGGAGTCTACAATTGGTCCAAGAGATGACCTTTACGAGGAGTGGCTCCTGCCCATGACATACGTACCTACCTTGCAGCCATCAATGTCCATGTCTATGGCCTCTTTCTCCTATCGATACAGCACGGAATATGGACATGATTCCGACTCTGTAAGGCATAGGATGTTTTAGCTTAAATCGCTTTCAAGAAAATATTGTATGCATTTAAGTTGTAGTAACTATTGAGTGAGAATTAAGTCTACTATGATATAATGCTATCCAAAATGTATGGCGGCTCGCAATATCACATGGAACAACGCAATTTGAAGCATTGACGGGATGTATGCTTTGTTTAAATCAAACTATTAACCATAAACGTTTAGTTTGCCTAAAATTCAAAAATTCAAAAATGTTTCTGATGAAACATGTTTTCTTACATAATTAAATAACGTTTAGCTACCCATATTTTTCAAAAAATAATAATATGATTATCAATGGTATTTGACATTTCTCTGTTTACTTAATTTCGGCTTTGGATCGAATAAAATTAAATGAAATGCAGAGGCGAGGGACGCTCGATCGTGCATTTATTCGCAAATGATCCACCTCCACGAGCCGCCATAAAGTTGGAATCTTTTAATACCAAACAGGGTTGGCTAAAAAATGTTTCCTATTTTGATTACATTGCAAGGAATGTCTTACAACAGGATAGTGCAAAATAAGTCACCGAGAAATTTCCCAGTTCCACTTCTGCATCAGCTTAAGTTTTAGTTTAAATGTTTATTATTAGCATATATTCCATACTATAATTTATTGTTTTACGATTATTCGTATGTAGGTCAACAATTTTGTCACATAATGTGTGCACAAAACCGTTTACCTACATTTTTATTTTATTTCTAATATTTTTCTTCTAGATAAAACTAAAATAATTGATGTTGAAGATTAGAATTATCTTTAATTTCTACATTTATCCATTAAATAATAAAACATAATTTCTCTACTCGCAGTTTTTCCTAAACTAACCCTGAGTTAATAATCTACATTCACAGGATCGCTACAGAGGCCACATATGGTTTTTAGGGGGAAAGTCTTTGCAAGATGTTACTGCGAAACCAAGCGTCAGATTCGCCTCAGTCTCCGCAAAAGAATAACAAACATATTATTGATTTATACATTCGTTATTTTCCTTTTGTAAATGTTTACCTTTTATATTCTATACTTTTAATAATGAGTTAATTTACTGAAACCAGGGCAGGGCATACGTTTAAGTGTTCCAAATTTGAAATATATCTTGTTATCAAATTTAATTTAAAAAAAAAACATATTCCTCTTTAGTTTCCCACAAAACGGATAGTTCACTACAGAAATATCTAACTTAGTTTTACAATAATTTCAATTTATGTAATATCAAACAACTAAGATCTCTTAACGACTATCTTTAGAGGTAAAATCATCATACATCTTACAATAGCATAGATGAGATCAGAGGAGTAGATTTTAATACATTCAAAAGCCTTGTATCTTCATACAATATCCTATGAATAAATTAGAAAATAAATTAAGACGGGTACAAGCTACGTGCCCTACACTATGCATTGTTATAGTTATTGGTGAATTACTCATGTAAATTCTGTCGCGGGCGATAAGGATCAAACTTTCAATAATCGGTTAGTTACATAAAGGCGTTTCAAATCATTTCATACACATACAAGTTTTATCTCTAAAATCGAAAGTTAATTTTTCAAAATGCGTCGTAAATGACAACACTAATGAAAATCACAATAAAACCCGCAGGCCTTTCTCCTTCACCTTTATGCGTCGAATTAACAAAAAATGTGTATATTACAAATCAATTAGTGGTTTCTATTTTTGTAAATAAAATGTACCTGATAAATTAACGCTAAATAAGTTGACGCAGCATTGCGGTGAAATTAAATTTGGATAGTACTGATAATAAACGAAAACAAAACAGTCACATTGACATTATTTACCTAGATGTTGCCCGATAAGGATTTTATTTTCAAAATATTAAACATTTAGGGGAAAACAGAAAGCCAAGAAATGGTTGGTTAGGTCCCGAAAATATTGTTATGCATGTACGTTTAAATTGCATTTTCATTTGGATTATAATCAACCAATCTATTTAACGTGTAGAATACTAAAATTTAAAAACTGGTCTGGGAAAATTAAGCGTTTCATGTTATAAAAGGGTAACATTTTATATGTTTTGAGGTGAAAAAAAAGAAAAGCATGGATTGGATGATGGATGTCGTGCTAAGCTAAGTAATGGACGGTGTCGATCGCTTTTGCTTAAATATTTTTTTCAATAAGTAAAAATCTATTTTCTTCCACGTTTCCAATATATGACATTAGCTTACTTTCTGCCTTTAATTATGAAGTAAATTTAATCTTAGATATTATCACATAATAGTAAAAACCGCATAGCGTAAGGTTAACATTAAAAACATTCACTTTTGTTATTTGTAACTTATAAACGAAGTCATATAATGTTAGCAAAATGAAGTGCCACTACGATGTTTTGTGTATAACGAAGGAGGCGAGCTCGTCTGAAATAAAGAAGGCATATCGCAAACTTGCATTGCAATGGCATCCAGACAAGAACTTAGACAAACTGCAGGAGGCTAAAGAACAGTTCCAACTGATTCAGAACGCTTATGAAGTTCTCTCCGATCCGCAGGAAAGATCTTGGTAAGTTCCAGTTTGCATGGTCGTTGCGAAAATTTGAGAAATCAATGACATTTTGATTTATACACAATAATTTTATTAACGCAATGTTGTGTAAGGCTTTACATTTATTTGTAAATAGATAGTACTGACTCATTATTTCTGCTTACTACTTCTTGATACTTGTAGATCTCTGCACCAACTAAATTAATTTGAAAATTACTAAATGGACATGGAAACTATGACTACTAGAACATAAAACATATTTTCACTTAAAAACCTTAGTTTTATTATATTACCATAGACTAAGGGACATCTATGTTTTTGTTTCAGGTATGATAATCACCGAGAGCAGCTTCTCAGAGGTGCGGGTAGTTCATATAATGATGACAGTCTTGATGTTTACCCGTACTTTAGTCCGTCCTGCTATAAAGGCTTCACTGATGAACCTCAAGGCTTTTATGGAGTGTACTCTGAGGTAAATATTATTAAAAAATATCATCCATAGGTATAAACCAATCTATGATTTTCCACTCCCAAAATACACTGAAACAATAGTAATATTTTTTTTAGTTTTATGTTAACTTTATAATTTAAAGTAAAAACTGTTCTGTCTCCAGGTATTCTCCAAATTAGCATCTGAAGAAACTGATTTTCTGGATGATCCAGAAGATGTAGCAAAAATTCCCAAATTTGGCAACTCAACTACTCCATATGAAGAAGTACATGAATTTTATGCTTTTTGGATGGCATTTTCAACCAATAAAAGTAAGTATCACCTATAAATTGTTAGACTCTATAGTCATTATTTTAACAAATATACAATCCCCCTTTTTATGCTTGTTAATGTAAAATAAGTATTACAGTAAGTCTGTGTGTGCCTAAAACATACTTACCAAAGTAAAAAAAAAAAACCAGAACATCTGAACACTCACCAGCGCTTTATTCTTGTTACAGGTTATGTATGGTTAGATCAATATGAAATATCACAAGGTGATAATCGAAGAGTTATAAAACTAATGGAAAAAGAAAATAACAAAATCAGACAAAAAGCTAGGAAGGAAAGAAATGAGGAAATTCGACGTCTTGTGAGTTTTGTACGTCGAAAGGATAAAAGGGTTATTGAACATACAAAATTGTTGCAAGCAAAAGTAGAAGAGAATAAAAGAAAGGTAAAAATTACGAAATTTATTCATTTCCACTTGCATTGATTATTCCTTGTATTAGCAAAATTTTTTTCTTTTAGGCAGAACAAGTGCGAAGGGAGAGGATAATGCAACGACAGAAAGAGATTGAAGAAGCAAAAATAAGAGAGGGAGAGACCAGCTTTCTGCAAAGTGAGGATTATCACAAGAAACTTAGTGAAATTGAATCACTCCTTGCTGAAGAGTTTGGTCTGTCTTCCGATGATGATACCATCAGTGAAGGTGGAATGGAAAGTAGCAACGAAGAGAGCTCCAAGACTGAAGATGTAAGTATTATTAAAACTTTATTTTTATTAAGAAACAATTCTTACAAAGAAGGGTCTTTCAATTTATTATTTTAAAATTTCGATAATGTAAAATGTTCTATTATATATACTAATATCCTAGAAAGTTTTGTATTTTTGTATTTATTGAAATAACTCAAAAACTACTGGGTTGATTTCAAAAATATTTCGCCATTACAAACATGATTTATCTGTGAGTAACATTGGCTATATATCTTTTTGTTATTTATTAATTTCACAGGGTCTAAGTCGCGAGCAACAGCTAGTCTAATATGTTACAATGAGTGTTAAAGTAACAATTATAGTAATACTAAAAGTCATATGATATCACTAATATGTTATATTTTCTAGCAGGCTAGTGAACAATCAAAAGTTCCCGGAAAATCGGCGACTAAATCGAAGACAGTTGTTAAAAACCTATATTGCTCTGCCTGTAACAAACTATTTAAAAATATAAATTCATTTGAGAATCATGAGAATAGTAAAAAACACAAAGAGAATGTAGCAAATATGACATTAGAGAATGATATTGATATATCGGACAATGGAGAGAATGATGGAGACAATGCATCTAGCGGACGCGATGATAGCGGAAATATTAATGGACAAACTGAGGAAGGGGAAAATGTGGGTAATTCGACATCTGATATCGAAGACAATGATATCAGAGAAACATTAAGTGATGATTCTGATAAAGTACAGGTATGTCTTAATTTCTCTGTGTCTTTTGAATGTAGGCAAATTAATCTTTACTAACTACACCAATCACACAATAGCACTATTCATTTTAAAAAAAAAAATCTATTTTGTTTGTAACGAATAAACTCGAGAAGATATTGTAAGACCTATTTCAAATATTCTTCCGATAAATTGAATGCTTCATCACTGATTAACATGGCTATATTAAATACTAGGATTTTTCTAAATGTTCTTAATGCTATTGTAAATTTAATACATAAGTGTAAAATTCCTTTAGTATTCTTAACTTCATATCTTTGTTTTAGGCTTTACCAAAAAGCCAGAAGAAAAAGAAAAACAAAAAGAAGTCATTCATTCCGATGCCTGAAAGTGAAGGGAATGACAGTCATGATGAGATGAGCTTCAATGAAATAGAAGGTCCAGCACGGAGTAGGAAGGCGAAGAAGTTCAACATGCTTAAAAGCCAAATACAGGCGAAGAAAGAAGCTAACCTAAAGAAAGGATCTCAATCACAAACATCTACGGAAAACTTGTACGAAGTGTCGAGCACAACACCCACTGATGATGCATTAGGTGAGGCAGCATTACCCAGAGATAGAGTGTTACCTAAAATGCAAAGGAATATCAAACCAAAGAAACTAACTGAAAGAAAACCTGTTAGAACGAAAACTAGTGAAACGGAAGATTCTAGCACTGCTCTGACTCTCAGATGTGCAATCTGTCAAACAGATTTCCCTTCAAAAAACAAGTTGTTTGAGCATCTGAAGAAAACTGGCCACTCGGTGCCGCTCCCACATGCTAGCTTCACACAAATGAAGAAAGGTAAACGAGCAAATAGATAAATGTGCAATCAAATTAGATAGGATTTAATCTATTAATTATATTTCATTGAGAATCTTTGGTGATTTTCTTCAAATCTCTACAATCTGTAAAGTGACTTTATCAATTTATTTATTAAATTATAAATTATGATCACTCAATAAAATATGCCTAAATAGTTTTGGTTTCATTTCTATCCATATTGATCTTGAGTTAGCAAATAAGTATGCTTGTAATGCTCATACAGGTAATTTAAAAAACATTTTTAAATAGGAAAGAGAACTTGCAATGTTATTCATTAACTAAATAAAAGCAATTTTGTGACAAACATTTATTAACAAATACTGAATTGTAAGAATGTCAAATTTATTATAGGCGACCAACTGCCTAATAAATATATTATAAATGCAACTTAGCACATCTTTCATTACTATTTTATCACATGGAAAATAATTATAGATACAACTACATATAAACTATCATTACAATTCCAAGCTATGAAAATGTGCTCGGGGCTAGATTGCTAGTGATCATAATCTTGGTAGTCCATTCTTTGTCATATGGCAATTTGCCTATATCATATAAAAACATTCAATATTTTCAATATTGACAACATTTTGGTATTTAACATTACAATTGCACTTTGGACAATAAATTAAAAATAACGATTAAAGCTATTCAAACTCAGGAATGTCAGCAAAACTATATCCTGGATATTCTTTGTATGCATAAAATGCTATTCTTATATGATATGCGCCCGGTAAAAACATTATCCCGCCTAAAACTATCATCGGCCACAAGCGATCGGAATATTTCGTGTCTATATGACCAGTTACGATCAGACTGCCCACTGTAAGTAGAACTGTACCAACGATGAACAAAAATGCAGCTAGACTTATAGCTTTCCAGGGTATCCTAGGCGGAGGTACTTCAAACTGGGAGTCGGAAAAACCACTATCATCATTTGGAACCGGCGTATAACCGTCTGGTCTTCGAAATCGAAATCGCGACATCTTTGCCATCCAGATTTCACTAAAACAACATTTATTAATTAGTAAACGTTTACAATTATACATTTTGCAATTCAAAATTAGAAAAGACACAATTACCAATAAATTGTTAAGATTATAAAATAATTGCTTTGAAATTAAAACAATAAATTAAATTCGACGCCTTATTCGTTATTTTATGTCAGCTGTCAATGTCACTACAAATGTCATGCATCAAATTCTATGAAAGGCTTTGGATACTTGCATTAACGAAAATAAAAAAAAACAACATATTTTCATTTCTGTTGGTTAAATTACATTCCTCTAATATTGAGTATATTGCTTAAAAAACAAAAAAGGTTTTCTGAGAAATTTATGCCACACAAGCATCACATGCAATGCTGTTCCGGGTTCTCGTGGTGATGAAAACTCCTCAATTCGATTATCACATCTATATTTATGTCAGTGGTTTTCATCGAGAGTTTAGGCTAAGCGCTATCTGCGCTAGGCCACCTCAAGCCCGGTGAATCTGTAAATGCGTCTTCAAGGCAAACAGTAGCCATTCAGTCACAAAAAAAAATCTTCACATAACCCGCTACAAGCGATGTACCTAATGTCAAACAACCATGCACATATTACAGGTTCGTATCCAAACCAACCTATTATTGACGTGGATAGAACAATAAGAGCATACTAAACTCGTTAGAAAAAGTGTTTCTATTTAACCAATAATCTATCACAGTAGTAAAACAAACAAAGTAGGACAGGACTGCAGGTTCAGGTGTCCTTGACCCGATGCGACGCACTGCAGCGATCGCCCGGACCACAGTATCGTGGCTCGTGGCACACCATTCACACCCTTGAACTACTCACTCTTGATTAACTCCAATGCCAAGTGCCGCCGGCAGTTCTTGTTAGTATCAAAATGTGGTGAGGTGTTTTGGTTTGTTATCCATTACATAGCTTTTTAAATAAAATTTATGAATTACGAAAAATGAGAGATAATTTGGGTGATGAGACCGACACATATTGATTGCGTCAAGATTGTAGAATCAACATAATTTTGGTATAGATGTTGGGTTAAAATCACTTAATTCAAACATAAGATCTAGCCATAAATAAAATATGATTTAGAGATAGGGCACAAAATCTTAGGTTTCCCAGTTTCAATTAATTACGGTACACCGTATTATTTATTACAGTAAAACCTAAATTGAAATGAGGTGTCCTGGATTAATGAAATTATTTTGATTGTTGATGTTTCAGATACATGATCTATTAATTAATAGGTTTTTTTTTCTGTTTCACATTTGGAATGAAACAGTTAAAATATTTCATAAGGTTGGCAGCGAAGTAAGGTTTGTTTGTTGCGAAACATAATGGGCGGAAGTGGAACTTACAGTTGCCAAGCCATAAAACTTATTTGAACTAGTTTACTTAAAGATAATTTATACACTAAAATAAAGGTAACGCATTAAAAAACTCTTTTTTTTTCTTTTTCTTACAGGGGCTTTGGTTTCATAGAACATGCAGTCTCATAATAACCTTATACAAAATTAAATAAACTTGTCTTTTTAACTTTATATTATAAGTATCCATATTCGGTGATTGCTTTAATAAGCAAGATCTGAAATCTCATTTCCTAAGTGAAAATTTTTCTGGCTCTTAAATTAAAAGTAGGAATAATAGATATTTTAGTGTGGCATAATTTCTGACATTATTTAAAAGCCGCCATCTTTGAAAGTCGGACATTTGCTCGCTGGCTCTGGGACCATCAAATCGTGTTAAAGTGTTCGGTACATTTTGAGGTTGCAATTGTAATAAGTGGTCGATTCCTTGTTCTTCCTAGTTATTGCTGTAAATTACTTTAAAACAGATAGATTTTGTGTCCAATCAAATAATAAAGTTGTTCGCCATCTTGCAATCCTTTGTTTTTTTTTTGTAAAAAAAATCGTTCATAGTTGCTAAAAGTACTTATAAACATTTTCAATAGCTAATTGCGGCAATATTTTCACTATCTTGTAAAGCCCAAAAAGTCTTACCACTTTATCATCTGTGTTCTTGTATGGTCTATTTACTTTTTTTTGTAAAAAAAAAACTTAAAAACCACGTAACTTGCGTCAATTCCTATATTTATAGCAATTATTTAAAGAACATTATTCTCTTTATTGTTACAATTGACTATAAATTGATAACAAATTAAAACTTCGTTAAATTACCAAAGTTTCGTGAAAAATAGGTCGATTTTTTGGTTGGGAATTTAAAATTTCAGTGATGGGAATTGCAGCGGAGTTGTTAAAGTTTGGTTTGTAAGGCCACTTCAAACAAAAAGTAATCCTCTTGTCGCTTCATACTAGAACATGAATTTCAAGTGTACTTATAGATTAAGATAGTTTTGTAACAATAAGCACTCTTGTCAGTTATCGTAAATGTTTTATTTATAGAGTTTTATTCATGGATCATATTAATTCGAGAACAAAAATTGGCCGCCTTTTTTTTCGATATTACTTCAGATAATCTTGAGTTTTGATAACATTACCAACAATATAAATGCGAAAGTTTCAATGGATGTTCGGATTTATGGATGTTAGATTTTGTAGCCTAAACAACTGAACGGATTCTAATGAAATTCGGCATAGATGTAGAGCATAGTTTGGAAGAACGCCGACGTGTTCTTGCTCTCTTATTTTTTTTTATTCTACGCGGTCAAAGTCGCGGGTAAAAGCTAAATCTTTACTGGTTTTTATAATAGTTTTCCGACCCATAAATCCTACGTAAGTATGACAAAATAATATCCCTTTTCACCTCCGTGCAGTTACTTTTCGAGGCTTAAAACTCGGAGCTTGAAAACACTACTATACTAAGTCTTTATTTATTTTTACAATAGAAATAATAATTCCACAATTCATCGTAACAATTGACCGGACTTCATTAGAGGGGGAAACGCAATCATTCGCAATGTTCGTAGCAATGTCAACTGAATGAAAAGACAACTTTCTTATTCTCTTTTGTAGAGCTTGAATAGAATAACAAATAGAAGTATAGCTCACAATAGCTGGTGACACTGAAAATTGTCGAGAAATTATAGTTGCTTGTTTTTACAAATAGTGGTATTTTTTAAAACCCTCATACTGTGTTTAATATATCGGACGACTAATGTAAATCATTTATTTTATATTTATTTTCAAGCAAAATTCGAACTTCTCATAGATTTCATAAAAAGTCTAAAAACGATATCTTTAATATTAGTCTGGGAAAAGTACTAAAATATGGAGTTTATCATATTTTTGTGTTATTAAAAGAAATATAACGCTAAGCACAGTAACGCTACTAACAAATGTATAAGAGATATAATGTACGATGACTTTTGTATTTTCTTGTCTATCTTATGAAAATATGACCATGAAAAATTTGTTTCCAAAGACATTCGAGTATTAGTTTTGGATCAGCAATATATCTAGGGTCACTCGAGATCGACTTAGTCACACTTAGTAACAGCCCGGACCTCTGGATCGTCGCCAAAACTAACAATGACACTCAACACGAAGACAAAGTGGCGATACGTCTATCAAGATACCTATAACTAAATAGCTGTCTAATACCCGGTTTCCCAGCTACATTTAACCATTCGTTTGTGTTTTTTGGTTCAATAAACTAATGAAAATGAACCGAACTACTTAACTTGGATTTTACTACGTTGAAACTTAGGTCAACCTAACTAATAAGTCACTAGGTTATGATAAAATAAAAGGAAACTTCAGCAACCCAGCATAAATAGTAAAAACATTTAAATATATAGATATACGAAAAATTGGAGTGTCTAAATGTAATATCGAAAAAAAAGTGATTAATTCTGCCTCGACAGACATAATTTTTATAACTAACGCAGTTCGCCCAACTTTTTTGTGTCGCAAGATAAACGATTAAAATTTATTTGAACTGATTGCCAACATGCAGTAGTCTAGGAAAATAAGGTGAGATGTTTTTAATAATACCTAGAGTTACCTATATTCTAAACAAATGTACCTTTTTAATTTAAAGTGTTTAGTTTATAAATAGAGATTAAGATCCAAAAACTTTCAATTTATAGCTATACTGTTACTCCGACCTTCAGTCAGACGTCAGTATTCAATTTTGTTATGCAAATATTCCCGCTACCTTCAGCGGTCACTGCCGACCTCGTTATGAATCAGAAATTAACATTTCTGTCATAAATTTTACTAACACTAGCTTCCGAAATTTCCTCGTAATTTTTATATTTACCCATAATTACTTTATTTTAAGAAATTTAAGAAACACATATATTTTCTTTTATAAAACTATTTTTCCAACATGTATACGAACATGCATTCATAAAAATGAGGCGTATAGTAATAACCGATTAATCTATCCTTACAAAAAACAAATTCCTCAGTGAGCTAGACGCCTTAATCCTGAGATAAATAACACGAATAATACCGTAGACGCAACTAAAGCATTAGCATTACAAAACTACATTGTGGCATTAGTTGGATTCGTAAAAATCATAGCTGTATGTGTGTACACATACAGGGTGTTTAAGCTTGTGTGCGTTTAATCGCTTGCGGCAGTTAGGGGCGCATGCGCGGTGACGCAGGCGCGCGCACCCCCGCAAGCTGACAGCCACTCCGACGGTAGACTGAGTCGAGGGCAGCCGCGGCAGAGCCCTGCTTAGCCAAGCAACCCGGCCTCTGAGGCCAGGAGCCTAGCGCTTCACCCAGCCGACGCGTTCAACGCGATTCCACCACCAGGCTCCCCGGATCAAAGGTAAGACCAATTGGATCCGCCCTAATTTTTCGCTCCCCTAATGACATGTGTTGCTGTTGCTGGGGTTGCGTATTGCGCCGGTGTACGCTTAACTTCGACAACTTTCGTCTCTCTCCGCATTGAATTTTTCAATTCGTTACGCCTAAATTTAACAGAGATATTTTATTATTAATGAATGCAATTTTTCATCTGTAACCATTAAGCTGCCGAGTATTGATTAATGTTTGGAAACGAGTCTGCTATTCGTTGTTTTACATTATTTACTTTTTAAAACAAATACATTTTGGGTATTTTAATTCAGAGCAATAATAAAACTGAAACACGTTTTTAAATAAATATTTGAATATATATCGAAAGTATGATGTGTAGTTAATATGAACGTTTTAATTTTAAAATCCTCATGTTCGGGATCAATTAATGTTAGCTAATACACCGCGATGAATGTATGTCATCAATTTGTTAAATTTTTTATCAAAATTTTTTATTCACATGTTCACGACTTTATCCATAGCATAACGAGCTGTCAAATTTGACACATACTGTCACATTTGCATATTACGCATATTACGCATGCAATCTACCCTGATTCGGATAGACAACTTGAAGATGGCTTTTTTAAAATGAATAACGATGGAAACGTTATTTTGGCTATTGCCAAAATATTTTACAACACCGAAAGTCAGATAATATCAACAAAAGATTAACATTAATTTACGCATCAGTATTAAACATGTATTTATTAAAAAAAAAAACAAAAGATATGTATGTACTGTTTGTATGTTTGCTATTTTATCAGCACGCTACAAAGCACGTAGACACACTCAAATTTACGATTGCCAAAACAAGGCGAGGATTCTATGCGCAAAAATTGATCAATGCAGTAACAGTTTAGGTGACCGTGAGACGCGCCAACGCTTTAACAAAACCATGACGTGAGCTCTATTTCGGAGCTTAAAATTCCCTTGTTACGGACGTGATAGTAACAATAAATTATTATTCCACTTGAACCACAACTAACGTATAACTTTCAAAACGAATTGAAAAGATTCGAATAATAGCGTAGAGCTTTTGTGAGCTTTATAAGGCACAAGCTTCAATGATTTCTATTCAACGGGGATTGATATTTGAAAACTACTTCAATAACAATCGGATATTCGATTTTTGATTCTAATCCGTATTATATTTCGATGATTTCGAAGTTCTGAAAAAATTAAATCGGATATGTAAACAATTCATAACTACCTGTCTAAAACTAACTTTTTATAACACATTTGAATAATAGTGGGTTTCTGAAGTTTCCATTTATTTCATCATTACCTATTAATTTGTCAGTGTAAAGTTGACGATAATTTCAATGGAGTAAAGCCCAAGATACTTAGTTCGGAAACACATTCCATGATGTTGTCGAACCCGAAAACTCTAACGAATAGTTAAAAGTAACTGGGAAACCAGACATTAGAGATAAATTAATACGAAACTAATAATTATTAGTCTATGATTTACCAGACTATTCAAATCTTCAATTTGTTTAATAGCTTAGCTTTTAGCCGTGACTTAATCCGCGTGGAATTAAGAAAACTTTGTGAGTATATGTTCTTTCAATTTGTATTCTACATCCGTACCCAATTTTGTCGAAATCAGTTAAGCCGTTTTAGAGATACGTAGTAAAAAATCCCAGTGATGGATGGAACTTTGTTTGTAACTATTACTAATTAACTTTCGCATTAATATGTAGCATGATAACTACATAGAACTATTATAGTTATAAGTAAAAGTCATTAAAATTAAGTTAAATAAGATATGCGACAGAGATAATTTATTATGCGTCACTTAACTTCACTAATCAGCATAAAGATGGAATTTATTACACAAAATTCATCATCAACTATTAAGGTTGCTATAAGTTGCTGCCCGATATAGTAGACTCTATATCTTACTAATATTATAAATGTGAAAGTTTGAATAGATGGATAGATATTTGCTAGAGTTTGTAGCCTAAAACGCTGAACGAATCTGGATGAAATCTTTTATTTTTATAATTACAACGCGGTTGGAGTCACGGGCGGAAGCTAGTTTAAAATAATGATGATGCAATTCTTTTAGTTTTTAACTCCTTTATAAAAATCGTTATGTCCTTTATTCCTAACGTTATTTGGCAAGTATCCTGGCGACCTCTGGCGTCGGATAGAGGACGGTAAACAGATCTTGGCACACTCTTTTGCCGCAATACATAACCTATATTAATCTTTTATTAAACCGTAAAAGTTAGTTCTTGTATTAATTTAAGAATTAACTTATGTAGTAAATAGCTATCCTAAATTTATAAGATATTTTGTCGTTAACCTGACTATCTATCAAACAGTGTAAAGGTTAGCGAAAATTGTAAATGCGAATGTTTAGATGGATGGATATTTGTTACCAAAAACGATTAAACTAAATTGCTTGTTTTAAACAATGATAGATTTCGGGCCCTAATAAGACAGGTTACTTTTTTATACTCTTGCTGTTAAAGTCACGGGTTACAGCTAGTTACAGTAAAGTATATTAGACTTAATAAAAACGGGTCAATTGATGTCAGGAACATCTCATTAAAACAATTGTAAATTGAGCATATTGGATTACGTTGAATGTAGAATTAATGTTTGAAAGGTGGGTTGTGCCATATTGCGTTAATGGGTATATGGAGTAGAAACCTTAAAACTCTGCTACTGTTTAAAGTTCAATTGTTTTTTTTTAATTACCAGTTGTCGAAGTTTTTCCCTTCCTTTAAATTGAATATAGCTATAGAATCGAAGTATTTTATGCTATTATTGTTGTTTATACTTGGTTTTCTAATTATTAGTTTTGTCAAATGATCAAAATTGTCTCTATTTGTCTCTATTATTTTTTTTTTTTGGAAATAACGTATTATTTACAAAACACTTTTTTTAAGTTTAGAAGTTAATTTATTTATTTTACTATTACTTTGAAATGCATAGGAACTTAAATATCGTAAGTGTGTTGCACTTGGATTAACCCATATTTACAGCCGGCTGGAGGCCTTATTTGTTGTCACTTGACACTTCAAGGTTACGATACTTGCAAATAAATGTGAACGATGAGTTACCAGCTGAAATACATGCATAAAAATATTAGATACCATTTGAAAGAAACTGTAATTTTCCTTTGCCATTAGAAGATGTGTTTTAACTAATCAAGACATTTTAATCAAAATCATAACTTTGATCTTATTTTTCTGTCCACTTAAATATATCTACTTTATTGAAACTAAAAGTAATTTAATTCAAAGTCATTAGAGTTTCCGTATCGCTACGAATGTCTTGTAGAATGCTACGAATATCCGGCTACGGCTACGACGCGTTATGCGCTGCTACGGGCTTGCAGCAACGTAAGTAAAATAACGAAAATACACAGTTCATTTACTTTAGCAATACCTGTTTTTTTTTTAAATAACTAGCTGTTGCCGACGACTTCGTACAAAATAAGTCCGTATAACGGTTCGTAAAAATATAATCTATGCTACTCACTGGTGACGTAGTTTTTTTAATGGTGAAAGAATTTTTGAAATCGCGCCGTAGTTTTTGAGTTATTTCAATACATAGAAAAATACAAATATCTCCTCTCTATAATATTATTATAGGTTATTGTTTTTAAATCGTAATTATTCCACCGGAATTGTGTAACACTAACTACTTATATTATAGAATATGAGACTGTTCTCTAGTTGAAAAAATTACTGAAGTATTAACCTACAAAACACGATAATGTAGGTAAGCAGTGTCTGTCACGTGTCTGGTAAGTTGATGATTCGCAGCGGGGGTGAATTACCGAGTTGCCGACTCTAAAATGCCAATATTACTGAGACTATGCTACCAAGTTGCCCCGCGCGTTCTATTGACAGCTATTTTATAGTACATTCATTACACGGAGCGTAATTTTCTACGTAGGTCATTAACCACTCAGGGAATGTAACTAGTTTGGAGTTACCGCGACGTATTTAATATTGTTATATTGTACGAACGATGCGTTAGATGATTTAAGTGTTTCAATATAAGTAATTCGCGTTGTTTGATATTTATTACATCAATCATTGTCTTCTTAAAAGTATTTTTTATTGATAATCTAACAATAATATTAGATGCTACCATTTTTATCACCAGTTCTAGTTACTTGTATTCAATAAAGTAAATATCATAATGATTTTTATCTGGTTGGATTATAATTAAAAGTCGTAAACATTTACGTAAGAATACTTGCGAATATTGATACATCTTTTATGTATTTCATATAAAGGTAATTTTCAGTTAAAAGTGGTGTAGTATTTTTCTTATAAGTACATAAAAAATACAGTTTATAAACTCAACTCATTGATATACCGAACACCATTAAACTCTGGCCATTAAATCAAATTGTTTGATATATTAAGTCACGAAAATCAGATTCAAAATGGCGTCGCCCTTTTTCTCACGCTATCGCCGCACGCGAACATCTTTTGGGAACATAACTTGGGTGTTAACCTCTAACGATTTTCATACTAATAAAACAATTATTTTGACCAGAGAATAATGCAAGTATTAGTAAACATGTAATGACAGCGACTCAGCTTAATCATAAATGTGAGAGCACAAGCCAGTAAAACAATACAGTACATTGCATGCCACTTCACGATATGTCAGTATCAACATACTTAGCATTAAGCCGCATATAAGAAATTATAAAATTAATTTATTTTGTGTTGTTAATGAAACTTTTATATGAAAACATAACTTAAAATAACCGTTCTTTTAGATTATGTAACACAAAGGCTTTCTGAATTTAATATTACTGGAATAACGTTTTAAGATTTTTGGGGGCTATATGACCGAACAATAAACTCTTTGCTTAGGTTCCGTTGATATACTGAAGTATGTATAGTGAAGGGTCATGTTTACCTTTGTATGAATTACGTGGATGTTATAAGCAAAATTGCTATAGAAATAATGTACGGATACAACACTCTGTGATCCAATTTTTGAGAAGGAAAATTTGATTCCTAAATAATTTATTTTGAAAACTATTACAACATGTTGAGAATAATAAAATATAAAATAAAATCAAGCATGAAAATATACACATATTATTACGAAAAACCTATATGTAATAATCTAAATGTACATGAAAATATTATGAACGACGTCTCTAACATTTTAAGACTTCTTACCGCAGTATGATGCATTCGGACATTTTATATGCGCATTACTTTGCCAACTGTTACGTGTATGGTTTATATTTATTCATCTGTACAATAACATATTCATTGTAAATAACTTTAACAGTCTGTTAGCAATTTAAATACAATGGATTTTAGAGTTATTTAAAAAAGTTTAAGGACGTTACAAATATTTTTTTAATGTCCTGTTTTAGAATCGATTTAAACAACTTACACAATATTTAATTATTTATTTACAAAATTAACTTACTAATAAGAAAGCATTTTTTTTTAATTACAGACATTGAAACTAATAGTAGTATTATCCCATCACTTGTTTTTAAAAAGCATAGATATTAAAAACATAAACGCTTGAAACCCTCGATTCAAGAGAGATTTTCTACATCATTACATCTTTTCAAATTAAAAGACCCAGCAGTTTTTTATTCATATACACATGAATAATTATTCCGGCAGATGGCGTGCGCCACATTTATAAACTAACCTTGACCTTTCTGATGCAAATTCTACGACAATTGTTTCGTATGTTGTATGCAAAAATCTTTATTTAACGATATACTCGCTAGCAAGGCTGTTAGGCAATTAGTGTTCATTAGTCGATAACTCGATCATTTTATACAATACGGAAAGTATAACGCGCGGTAAGGAAAAGGAAGGACCGTAGCCCAACGGACAAACGACGCTGGAGGGCCAGCTTGAGTGTGACAATTGAATATAATCATATTTATTCAAAATACCTACAAAGGTTCCTACAATCCATAAAGACCATCGCCTATTACTGTGCATATGCGGGTGCTTACGACTATGGATACAGCGTGTTTAAGGAAATAAACTAACAGGCAGTACAGAGAATACTTAATGTCAGTTTTACTGGCCTGCAATTAAATCAATGCAGATTCTATGAAGTGTACACGGTATACGTTGTGGTTATTAATTAGTTCTTCCAGGGTGTAACTGTAAATATGTCTTTAGGGTTTTATTCTATATGAACAACTTTAAAACCTTCACACTAAATCTTGCTAATATTATAAATGCGAAAGTTTAGATGGATGGATGGATGTTTGTTAGCGTTTGTAGCCTAAACGGCTGAACGGATCTCCATGAAATTTGGCACAGGTTTAGAGCATAGTCACATGAGATAAGCTTCATCCCAGAGAAATGTCCGGTTCCCGAGGGATACGTAGGTTTTTGTTATTTATATAGTTCGTATGTTTTCTAATACCACGCGGACGAAGTCGCGGGCAACAGGTCGTATTCTATTAAATATTTAGTGGTACGTTGTGTATATTTATTAAAATTACATGATTTTATAAGATGAAGCTGTAACAGGCAGTGGTTCACTTTTTACGTGGATAGCCATTATTAAAATTTAACACAGAGAATGCGTGCGTACTTTGCGTTAAGCCAGCGTAAAACGTTCAGTTCTGGAGCTCAGTTAGATCTGAACGCGTACTCAGTTGACTATAAGTAACGGGCTAAGTGACACGGCTAAATTTTAGGTCAATCACAGGTTAGACGTGACATAATTGTAGACAATAATTTATCTTATACTTGTTACAGAGATGGAAATCGTGCCCGAGGGGAAAAACTTCCGATTGGTAAAAGAAGACGAGCTCCCAGCGTTGGCCGATTTATTGGTGCAATATATGCCTGAATCACTTAAGGTTATCATGTTTCTATATAATACTTAATTCCTAAAGTCTCGGACATTTTTATCATATGTAATTTCGTTACCCGGGAGTCGCATGATAGTTCAAGGAGAATTTTACTCTCGGAATTAACCATAGAACATACGACTCGATATCTTAGGCAAAAGTTAGAATAAAAAAAAATCATCAAATCAATGTTTTTTTTTATAAAATTAAATATTTGGTATAGTTAAACAATACATGATATTTCCTTGATGTGAAACCATTTATTTATATAAAAGTTAGTAAAAGCACCTGTTTTACTAGTAAGCAATCATTCAGAAATCTAAACAAACTACGACTTTATTTCTATTTTTTCTAGTTTCATCAAACGATTCAAACATATCTAAACAACAAGGTTTGGGACTTCCATTTTTATGTAGCGAAGAACTGGCCGGAGGACCCTATTTGTCTTCACTTCCCGGGATGTACCAGTACGGTAAGAAACTACTCTATGATTAGACAAAGCGTAAATAATAAGTTAAGTGCTTTTACCTTTAGTACATTGTTCGATTCAATGTAGAGCGTTACTTAATCTGTGCCTTGTCTTTAAAAAGTTTATTTGATTTTATTTACATCAGGTGGGATCGTGACCAAGCACAAGTTCTTTAATAGAAAGAAAATTGTCTTTGTCTGTTTTTTTTCTTTTCGAGATTACATACAGACACTCTAATTTTAACAATCGTATTGATCAGCACATTGGATTCTAGTTGATCTGTAATTCGTCATTTCCTTCTTAATAATGTTACATTTCAAGTATTGCAATCTACCCCTGTTGACATAGGTAACAATTATTTTATAACAGTATTGTACAGTCACGGAATTTACCTTGTACATTGCAATTAGATACATTTACAAACGACGTTGTATTGGGATTTGTTCCGCGCCTCGTTTCAAAATGTTCAAACAATTATAGCTTTTAGAGTAGAACACCGCTAGTTTCCTCGACAGTACGTTGTGAAATACTGCAAATTGGTTAAAGTCTTTCTAAATATTTTAAGAGGAAAATCTATTTTCGTTATCAAATTTCAAATGATTAAGAATCCAATCAACATTAGCGATTCCGCGAATGTCGAACCGAAGTTTTCCAATTAACTTGTTAAGAGTTTTAGGTTTCGGGGAAACGAGAATTACATAAAATAAAAATATAAACCTCTGTTCCCGTCTTTAGAAGTTTTCCAGTGGTACTTCAGTACACGTATCTTGAGACACGCCTGACACAGGGTCTTGACATTTACTTCACATTTTAAATCAGTTTTCTGCAAATTAGGATTTAATATTTGCATTAAAATTTTTACTACAAATAACTAGTAGTTTATTAAGGCTTACTTAAGTCGGCTCTTAGTGTGTGGAATTCTTTAATAATATCTATTCTGGTGAAAGTAAAATTTAACAGATCTCTAGAAAAGAATTTAAAAATATGAAAGAATCAATTATAAAGAAACCTGAACAAGTTCATACAAAGGAAACAGAACGAGTTTTCTTAAGCGCGTTTTGAATATTTAACTACCGCGTTGGCCGTCCCCGCTAGTTCGCACAATGTTCTATCAGAATAATTTAAAAACTTGCAAATGAAACAGTGCAGTTCCCTAGTGCAGTGAGTCATGTAACGTGCATTAATAACGTGACCTATATGTCCAATATACCAATGAATAAAATTAATATAATTATGCAATAAATGGCTAGGAAATTTAAATGCAAGTAAAAAATTAAACAGGAGAACTAATATGGAAAATCATTCTAACAAACCATGAAAATTGAGCGTAGTTCATCTGCTGTGATTAAGAATTTAGAAGTACTAGACCAGTTTGATCACAAATCACAAGGCCAAACTAAACGCTCGTTTAGAACACTTTAGGTCAACACGTACAAAAACTAGCACTTAACTTTGGCAAACTACCAGATTGTTCCACTCTATGAAGAATACTTATCCATTGTACGCGGAATTTAGTTTTTTCTTCATTCTGACCATGAACTTACAGACGATCTAAAGTACCTTGAAAAGAAATAAAAAAAGTTATGATTGATTTTTGATTCGTGATTTACTTTAAAAAGTTAGGTCGTTCTATTAAAATTGCTTTACAATTTTAACAGGCGCTTTATAATTTTGTTTCAGCCGAATAGTCTCACATATGAGAGCGTAACGGTGTTCTGCCCCTCGGAGCGCGTGGAGCTGGTCGACCTGTTGACCTCTGAGGACATACTGTTGGACCTCAGCAAGCCGCTCTACTTGAACTTCACACATGAGGCGATCGTGAACAGATTCGAGAAGCGCTATGAAGCCCACGATAAGATCACCGGCGATGTATATGTATGCGACAAGCCGCCGGAAGACACTGGAGCTGATGAGTCAGTTTTCTTATTATCTGTACTTTGCATATTTTATACTAATATGATAAATAATGACATTAAATTAATACACGTATAGATAGGATAAACTAACTTGTTTCATAGAAATATTATCAGTAATCTCAAATTTTATATAAATTGTGAAAATTATGTGAATACCTCAAATGTTTTTTTTTTAATTTGCAGTTTGCCACCGGACGTGGAGCTAGTTCGCTTAAAGCCAGAGCACATGAAAGCGGTACACGACTTGTATCCAGCGAGCGACATAGAGTGTTGTGAAGTCTTCGAGAAGCTGGTCGCTGAGCTGCCCGCGTACGGCATCTTCGTGGAAGGCCAGCTCGCAGCGTGGATGGTGCAGTCGTACTACGGTGCCATGTTCTCCATGCAAACGAGACCAGAGTTCCGGAGAAAAGGCTACGGCATATATCTTGCTAGGCGTCTCACTAAAGAGGTCGCTGCTCGCGGCTACAAGCCCTTCGTAGTCATTCGTCCGGAAAATGACGCCTCCCGTTCTCTCTACTCGAAGCTCGGTTTTGAGAAACGTTTCCGAACTGTGCGCGCCGTTTTGCGCCCCCGCTAAATCAACGTTGATGTCTAGCAGATTTTATTTTTTTAAGACTTTTGAAAAAAAAAAATCAATTTAGCTTGCGATCTTTGATCGCTTAGAGTTTTAGTAGTAGCTTAAGATCAGGGCGGCTAGTGTTCTCGTTCTTCGCCATTACAAATCAGCGTCACGTTTCACTTAAGATTACTACACAGTACTTATATATGTAGTTCTAATAGTAAAATATATTTATTCACACATGAGGCATACTAATAATGATAATTATGTACATAAGCTCCCTGCGATACCTTGAAGTGTTAGCGAAAAGAGCGAGAGCCACGGCCGACGCTGTACTGTGCCAGCTTAAATTCTGGTCTTGATGGAACCAAAATAATAATTGAATATAACTATAACGGTGTCTTTTAAACTGAAACATCAGTATTGAAATGTACTGTTGACCCTCTCATTCTCTTTGATAGTATAGAGATAAAATTATATCTTTCCACAGGTTCAGGTGTTTCGTGAATGGACTTATTGTCTGTGCCTCAATTACTTGATATTGTTAGCAGTTTTAACCTTACTAGTAACGTGGGCGCGTTTCTTCGGCGCCCCCTTTTTTCTATGCCTGAAAGAGTTCCCATCTTAGGGAGGGTTAAAAGGGATACGTGAGATCATGTAATTCGCCTAACCTAACGCCGGTACTGACTCAACTTTCTATCGTTTAGATCTCATTCAATCTCATCAAGCGGAATCGTGTTGACTCTTCTTTAAATTACTGGGACCTGTTTTGATCTCAAATAAGCCTATGAAACGGAAGTTTACCTTCATTAATTGCATTTAAATTGCACAATTAATCTGACACTAAAATGTAGGAGCACTTTGACGCAATAACAATTTTATAAAATAACAAACAAATTAATTACGTTAGAACTTTTGTAGGATTTCTTAAGAATTTTTACTTTGGGTATGAAAAGGATAACGGTTTATAGTGTTATTGATAATTTTGTATTTTTATTTTAGTGCAAGTGATGTCCAAATACTTAAGCGTGTAGTCACTTCGTTAATTTGATTGATATAGATAAACTATGTATTCTATTTATATGTGATTTGCTATTTAGGAATGAAAAGATGTATACGAACTGAAAACTATTATGATACAATAAATTTCGGAAAGATGTCGACAGTTTAAAAAAAACTTCGTGTTATAAGTGTAAAAATACATAAGCAGTTTTCAGTTTATATAGCTTTTCCATATACTCGGTTTTATATGAATATTGTTGGATATTGAAAACCATATAAAATTTGATACGAAAAGTAGATAGGTAGGTATTTTAATATGGTAATCTATTTTACAATTATATATCAAATTATAGAGATATTATTGGAATGTATGCTGATCGTGTTATATAAAAGGAAGATGGCTTATGGTCTTTACTTATTAGTTCCGTATTTTTAATTATATTTCTTTCTTAAGAATTGTTTTGTAAACGTATATACTGTAATGATATAAATAATGCAAAGCTGGAATATGTAAATGAATACGGATAAATTAACGGATTGGCAAATTGAATCGTAGAAAAAAATAACGCTACTAAGAAAAAAATTTAGGGTGCATTATGACGTTAAGAAAACTGCCAAGATCAATGTACGAAAATATTGTTATTTATCCATCGATAAAAACCCATTGGTCCACATTTTAATAGAAAATTACGTGCAATAATTACATATATCTTGTTAAATTTTCTACGCTAATTAAAATATATGCATATTTAAATGGTCCTCTTAGTCACGGCTACGCCAAATTTTGAGCTTTTTTTAACATTACTCTGTCACTTAATTATTCGGATTCAAAATTTGCTCAATGCATAGAGCTTCCAAGATATTTGTTTAAGTTGTAGCGTCCCATCTAATTTTAAGCGTTTTGCCAAATTTTTTGTAAAAATTATTTCAGTTATTTGTGCTTGTAACTTTTTAATACTCTCCCAAAGGATATTGAAATAACAAATGTTTCCATGAAAAAAAATACACATCCGATTTTTTTTATGTGAAACAACGGACAAAAATAACACATGGTAAATAAAGAGTACTTCATTGCAAACAATCGTTTAACAATATGTACTGTAACACAGCAAGTTATTAATTCAATTACATATAAAATCTCATTAACACATCCAATCATGCTAAAAGCTTTTCCACTTGCCTACTTTTTAAGTAGGTACTTTCAATTAAGTAGTTTGAAGATTTCTTGAAATTGTAATTATAAGAACATTTTCTGAACATTTCTCTCTTGCCTAACAAATATTTGAAAAGGACAAATTTCCGTCCTCGATTGCAGTTGACGCAGTGTAATGCAACACGATTTAATCAAGATGTATTTCTACAGCTACATACATGACGAATGTAGTATCAATCATGTATTGTTTATTATAATTACCTTGCAAAGGTACTTAAACAATAAAAACAATACTTAATTTATTTGTTTTATTTATTACATTTTCTTTAGGAATTCACACAAAAACCTTAACACGTATTCTGAGTATTTCTAAACTGCATTTTAAGAATTCGGCAAAAAGCCTCGTATCCATTACTGTTTTGACGCCTAACGCCACCCTGACAACTGACAACTATTTGATTTGAAATTTAACGGTTATTGATTAACTGGTCATGGTTACTGTGTTTAGCAGTTGTAATACAAAACTTTTAACAGAAACAATTTTCAAAAGTGGTGCGGTGTGATATTTTCTTAAAAATTGATAAATATTAAACCAAAGTGAAAATACCAGTATTGCAATGATTTACTTAACGAATGGTGTAAGCTGACATTATAAACAAAATCTGTCTGATGGATATTTTGTGTTTAAGTTATAAACCGTGAAGAAAATGAATAAAGGAGTAGCTAGGCCTCAGGTTGCTGCTGTGTCTGCACCATCAAGGTTTGGTTCCACACAAAATATGTCTGCAAATGTAAAAGTTGTTGTGAGAGTGCGTCCTTTGAATGAGAAAGAATTAGAGCATAATAGTCAAATCGTAGTGGATATTGTAGACGATAAGATGCTGGTATTTGACCCTAAAGAAGAAATACGACCTTTTTTCTATCATGGTATGCAACAACAAAATAAAACCTTCCTGAAACGAGCAAATAAAGAGCTTAAGTTTGTTTTTGATGACGTCTGTGGGCCGAATGCGACTAATAAAGATGTTTTTGAGACTTCTACAAAAGATATTATAACTTCACTCATGGAGGGCTACAATTGCTCGGTTTTCGTGTATGGAGCTACTGGTGCTGGAAAAACATTTACAATGATAGGAAATATAGAAAACCCTGGAATAACTTATTTGACTATGGAGCATCTATTTCACACAATTGGTTCATTTGGAAATGAGCGGGAATTTGATATTGGTGTTTCCTATATTGAAGTAAGATATTTTTTTTAACCACATCATTTATTATAGAGATATAATATTATGTACTATACATAATTCAGTGTTAATGTGTAATTATTTATGCTTTAACAATTTCAGTTTCCTTCTAAATTAAAGTTTTATCCATCAAGTAATCCTAAACATAAATCTATTTAATTAGTATAATTTTGTTTAGGTATATAATGAAAATGTTTACGATCTGCTGAAGCCCTCTAATACACCATTACAACTCAGAGAGGACTCTAAGTATGGTGTGATGATTGCTGGACTTACATTATGTAATATAAATACTGCTCGAGAACTTTTAAACTTGCTTGAGAATGGAAACAAAAACAGAACACAGCATCCAACTGATTCTAATGCTGAAAGTTCTAGAAGCCATGCTGTATTCCAGGTAATTTATATAACTCACTAAAACATATTCACTGCTATCTACTTGCCACATAAGTTCATTTTTGTATAACACTTTTTTAACATTTCAAATACTAACTGAAGACAATGATTTCCAAGTTTTGGTATATACTTAAAAAAAAACTCAAAAAATACTAGATAATTTTTAATTTACGAAATATACCGCATCAAACAAAAAGAATCATCTCAATTGGATTATAAATTGCAGCATAATTGATGTAATAAATGATTTTAAATATTTTGTGTGTAATATTCAACATTCCTTTTTATAGTCATAGCCTATTTGAACTGTAATTATTGTTCCCTAATAATCTTATTTTACCTTTTATAGGTGTATGTAAAAATGAGAGGCAAAGCAAGCAGTCAACTTCGTATTGTGAAGCTATCTATGATAGATCTAGCTGGGAGTGAAAGAGCATCGGCTACCGGCTGCATTGGAGATAGATTTAAAGAGGGAGCTAATATAAATAAGAGTTTACTTTCTCTTGGCAATTGTATTAATAAATTAGCCGATGGGAGCAGTTACATACCATATAGGTAAATGTTTTAGATGTTTATAATGCTAACTCTGCTTTACAAAGACTATCAGATATAAACTAAGCACTGATTACAATTTTTTTTGGAATACACAGTAGAAGCATGTCTTGTATCATTTAAGCTATTACATATTAAATGTTGTTTCAATATTTGGCTGTATGTTATTGTGATAAGGTTCTAAGTTGATTGCATGTTAAATATATTTTTAAGGCTGGGCTTAAAGATTTGATGCAGACAAATTCTTTTTCTTCATAATCCTTACCATAATTCAAGACATAGATCACTAATTCTTTTATACCCCAATTTAATTAATGTTTTGTTTTTTTTTTTATAGAGATTCAAAGTTGACGCGCCTTCTTAAAGACAGTCTCGGTGGTAATTGCAAAACTGTGATGATAGCAAACATATCTCCATCAAGTACGAGTTATGAAGACACATACAATACTCTGAAGTATGCGGCCAGAGCCAGTAAAATACAACTCAGTATAAAGAAGAATATTGTAGATGGTGATATGAGATTATCTCAATATGTGAAGATCAATGAGGAATTAAAGAAAAAGGTCAAAGAACTGGAGGCCAAGTTGTCTCTGTCTACTGTCAAGGTTGTTGATAATAAGGACAGAAGTTAGTATTTCCTTATATTAATTTAGATAAATTATTTTTAACTATCCAAAATCTTATTATTGAATATATTTTTAATTTGCTGCGCCATAAGTATTTTGAATTATGATAACAAAGATTGTACTGAAACATGTTATGTGGAGACTTTAGAGTTCTGCTTGATTTACAATCTATTTAGGGTTCGAATTTTACCATATAACAGTGTTTTTAGAATTTCATTTGTACATAATTTACTCGACATTACGGTAACGGGAAAACATCCATATATCAGCACAAAAATTTAAAATTAAGTGGAACATTAACTTACAGTAGCCCAGCATGGTTGACTCTTACCTAGTCAACCCTTATTTGGGTGTGCTCGGGTTAAGTATCTCGGTTAGCCAAGATTGCTCCCGGAGTCCAGCAATATCAAAGGATTGCTGTAGTTCTTCAGCAAGGTTGGGTTGGCTGGAGTAATCCATGTCCTGTTCTCACGCATTCGCGCTAGCCGTAGAGTTGAAACAGTAGCCTACTACTAGGGTGTACTCTCCTCAGTGGGAATATAGAGTTGATGGTTATTTTCAGTAATGGAGGAGTGGAAGCAACGTCTGCTAAGGGAGGAATGCTCGCTAAGTCAGGTGGAAGACAAGTTGGTGTCGCTGATGTCCCGTCAACGCGTGCTGGCGCTGCGCCACCGTCTGCGTACGCACGCCTTCACACACGTCGCTGACCTCGCGCACAGATCCTCGTATGACGCTTTGCAACAGGTAACGTATCCTTCTACGTATATGTGGTCGGCACAGTACTCAGACATGTCTATGTCAATCTTGATACCTTAAACTACTCTCTTCTGCATATTCATAATTGACCTTTAACCACATTCAACGTTATATTTTCTTGTTTTAAAATACTGCTATACTACAAAATTCTTAGGGTTGTATTCATACAAACTGAAGAAATTTATGCTAAGTGTTGCTGTGTTAACCTGAGTATGGTAGTTGTGTGGTGCCCTTAGTTCTGGTATGCAATATAAAATACATTTTAATAAATCCATTGGTCAGACTATTTTATTGATATCTTCTAAAACTTATCAATGTAATAAGTCCACTAAATATTCTCAGGTTCTTAATGATTTAACATATCTTTTTTTATAGATGTGTACAGAAGAAATACCTCGCCATGAGAGAGCTGCGGAGAATTATATGAAACAATCAGCTGGCCTCGATGATAAGATTAAAATTTGCTGGACGAAATGGTGCGAGTGTCGACAGAGAATGCACACTTTGTTTAAACAAGCATTATCTGAATGTTCCTCTTTATCGGATTTTGTTGAAAAGTTGCAATTACAAAGCGAAATGAGATTGATTAAAGCTAGCGACGAATTGAGGTATAAACTACTCTGTATAGAGAATGAAGAAATTAAAGCATTCACAGAGTACATGAGTGATATGCCAAGTATGCTAAAAAAGTTGTATTTAACATTGAAAGGATATGGTCAAGCACCACCAGCACTAACAGCGGAATATCTAGAGATAATGAAAAAAGCTAAACTGGCTAAAGGTATCACCTGGTGTGATTCACAGGACGAAGGAGATGATCAGTTTAAATTCATATCAACTTTAGATTTAGAAAAACCTATCATAAATCTAGACTTTGATATCAAAAAAGATGGAACTATAACCGATTTGACGGATAGTGAAGATTTAACTGACATAGAGAATCGTAACCCGTTGCAAAACTCCGCTATGAAACGTAAAGGAACTCCGACGAAATTGAATAATGAAACAGTATTAATAGATGACTCAATCGAATTAGACACAACCAGAACACTCGGTTCTGCGAAGAAATTTAAACAAGAATATGATATACCAGTATATGACAACCCAATAGATCCAAATAATTTAAACTCTACATTTGTATTGCCGGCGAAATTAGAAAGTCTGAAAAAGCAACCCATTAAAAATGAAGTTAATTTAACAACAAGGTCAGCTTTTATGAACAGGCCTGTGGTTTCTCAGAGGATGCTTAACTTCAATGATAAAGGTAAGATAAAAATTAATACATATCTTTCTATGTACTTTGAAAGTCCACTTAGTTTTTATTAGGAAAAAGTTAACTAATCTATTCAAATCTCCGATTCATTTGCAAAATATTTGTTAATTCTGTATTGTATAAATATTGATACTCTAAATTAGCTAAACTCTTTAGTTTTTTGTTAATCTATACTTCTATACTTATATTATAAACAGAGAAGATTTGTATTTTTGAAATTTTGTATGTATTGAAATAACTCAAAAAGTACTTGGACAATTTCAAAACTTCATTTACCATTATGGTATTTGTTACAGCTAGTTGTTTTAAAAATGCATGTTTTTCTTTAGTTCCAACATTTAACAAGCCTGTAGTGGGCAAAGCGATGCCACTCCGCCGCGTGCCGCCGGCGCTCAACTCCCGCCCCACCGCCGGCTTCGGCTCCAGTCTATCAAGAAATGGTACTCCTCTACAAAGAAATATGCAAGGTAAGAGTTTTTAAATTCATCTTGGATAAGTTAATTCTTTCTCATTAAAAAAGAAAGAATATTAATAAAAAATTGTTTGTCAATATTAAGTATTGAGTATTATCGACCGAAGATTGGACGGAACTCTTGTGATTGATGTCCTAAGGAACACTAAACCATAGAATTTGCCTTAAAACATAATATGCTGTAGCCTGACCAAAACTGTAAAAGCCCTCAACATGTTGCGGAAAAATATAAAACTAGTTCCTTTGCGTAAATCAGAAGTTGTAATGGATAAACTTACTGAAGTAACTTGATTTATAGCATAAATGTTACAAATATATTTTTATTAACTTTACACATGACTAATTTTAACACTGTATCCATATTGTGAAAATCTAATTTGGATAAACCATCTGCTCAGCACTTGTATTATGTATTATATTTTTTGCTTGGTTTACTCTTATAATCTTTTTTTTAGATGTTCCACGAATGAAATTCAATGATCCACAAAGATCAGTTGGGTACAAGTCGTTCCGTGCGAGGGAGAGGGTGCAAGCGCACCCCTACACCAGGCCCGCGGGCGCGCCTACATGGAGACATTAATGGATGGATGGATGGATGGATGGATGGATGTTACGTATCCCAGAAACTTTCTATGTAGAACATATTCTGAACTCAAACTGGTTAAGTGTTTTTAATTTCGCGGTCGCAGTGACACTAAAAGTATATGGCAGAATCAGTTTAGTTAAATTCTAACAAAAAGCCGTACTAATGTTACAAGTAATAGAAGAAAGCTTACATTGACTTTATATTTGTAGGTTATTAGGGTTTGAAATGAAAAAAAATTGTCATCTTATAACTGCTTACTTAAATATATTGACACCAATACAAAACCATTCTGGTTTTTTGACGTTGGGTAAGTATGGTTTATTTTTGTTTATATATTAGTATAAACATTAGCATAACAATATATCCATAGTAATAAAGAATTATTTGATTGAAGAGCAAGGTAAAAAAAATATAATTTTCTTTAATGATGCCTTGAGGTACATGAGTACACAAAACTTGCAATTGACTTTGAAATAAATTATAGATAAAATGATATGAAGCAAAGTTTTTGACGACGTATTGAAGGTGTTACAGACTTGAAGCCCACCTATTTATGTATAAATATATTTCTACTTGATATATTGCTACTACAAATATTCAAATTAGTATTGCTTGATATTGGTAGCTCCATTTTTATGTGAATAATTTTAGATATCGTGTTGACATATTATTAAGATTGGATAACAATATATTTAATTATGTACCGAGAAGTGTGATTTTTCATACATTAACACTGTTCAAATTTTGTACATAACATTATTACTCATTTATATTTGTGAAGTGTTAATTTAATTATTAATTAAAATGATTTATATATCTATTGGTTTTATTCTTATCATTTATTTCATTTTAATATTAATTGATAACATAAAGGCGAAGGATCAAAAGGCTCTCTCACCACTAGCGGCTTGCCCCATAGTCTACGACTTCGCTCTAATCATTGCTACTGATATGAAAAAGAAACACTAATACATAAAAATAATAAAAACGTATAAATTAGGGATTCTATCGGTAATACGCTTATCAAATGTTTAGTGGCCCTATGGCAGACTCACGCTGTGCAGTGCACAACCCTCGCTTCTCGTTACACCAAAATTCTATACTGTACAGCGCGGGGCAGGGATTCTGGTAAAGTAAAACCCGCCAAGAGAGAAAAGTAAAATACCGTTTGCCGGAAACCGGAAGAATATCATAGACAATTTTAGATTTCATTAAGAATTCGGACCCGATCAATCTTTGTCCACGAGAGTGTATTGTCTATTGCTTAAAAATATTTTACTCTTTGACAAACGCCATTTTAAAAGAAATGTCATAATTATACATGAGAATTTTGCAAAACATTTACAAATGTAAAGTATTGTGTGGTTACTATTTGTGGGCCATTACAGTTTATTGTATAATTTCATAATGGCCACGTTAATAGCTAAAATTGACAAATTGATTAAAAAAGAAAGAACTACACCTGAACGCAAACAGCACGATGTCACCAAATCGTCAAATGAGATTCTTTCAGAGCTTTTTAGTGTATTTAATGCTGATCCACCCAAGATTCAAGATATTTCAGTTAGAAAGTCGAAGAAGAGTAAAAAGAAACACAAAAAAGAGAAAAAGAAACGCAGTCGCAGCACAAGTAGCTCGGATTCTGATGACAGTGAGCACTATCACAAGAGGAAAAAGCGAAAAAAGAGCAAAAGCAAACGCAAAGAGCATAGAAGCCGTCGATCATCTTCTTCCGATGGCTCTAGAACTCCAGTCCTCACTAAAGATCAAATCGATTTTTCCAATAATAAATATGATATCAAAGTTGAAACTCCTCCAATCAAGATAGAGATTAAGGTTAAAAGTGAATTGCCAGAGACAAATGTAAATATAAAAAAAGAAGTAGATAAGCCTGATGGCTCTATTGATGCAAGCCTTATTCCTATGCCTGAATCTCCAAAAGACATTGAAAAATCAGACAAAAAAGAAAATTCTGACTGTGATAAATCTAGAGGTAAAATTCAAATTAAGAACTTGAAATTTAGTGCTGTGTTTGAAGAGACTGTGAAGAAAGCCGAAGAAGAAGCTCGTAAAAAAGCAGAAAAGGTAGAAGATGGGGAGTGTACAGATTCGTCCGGTAGTTCTATTAGAGAATTAGATATTAATGCACAATTTCCGAAATCATCTGATCCTGGAGGCATATTAAAAAAGCAAGCGGCCGAGGAAACTAGGTTGTAAGTTGTTTAGACTATTTTTTTGGTATCATGTGATGTTTTAATATTAATTTTAAAAATATAATCTATCTATGGTGCATTTCATTTTCTGACTTTATTACATGACTTATATGCAAAGGAGTTAGTTCTATATCATAGTCAACAATACTTAATATTAAAGTTACACAAGTTTTAACTTTGACTTTTGCAATTGCTAATTTTAACTCAATTATTCTTGAAATCTAAGTAGCTTAACATAACCTTATCAATTTACTTACTAAAACTTTATTTATTTGTATGATTTTCATTACTTTTAAAAATAAATATGCAACTCTTACAGGATTGAAGAAGAAAAAATTGCTTTAAAGAAAATAAAAGTGGAAACATCAACTAAATCTTCAAGAAAAGAAAGAGAAAGAAGTAGATCAAGAAAAAGGTATATAATTTGAGTAAAAAGTTCTATATGCAACAATAACATGCATAATTATAATAGTTTATTAGTTGTATAGTTTTATAGATTATTCTTATTGTCATAAGAATGTCAATTATTCTTATGCCACATAGATTAAAATCATGGATCTGGTCTGCTTAAGATATATCTTGTGTAAAAAATAGTTTTTAAGCTTGCTTCAAACATCAATAAATCATTCATTTCATTCTATTAATTCAAACAAATTTGGTTATAGATCAGGTAGTAAGTCTCGTGGTAGATCGCATTCTTCGAAACGCCGCCGACAACGCTCTCGATCGAGATCCCGTCGTAGGAGCCGCTCAAAGCACCGCTCCCGCTCTCCGATGAGATCAAAATCTAGAAGTCAACATCATAGACATTCACCAAGGCACAGAGGACGCAGATCAAGGTAAGGAATATAGTTTATATTAACTTGACTAAATTGTCTTAATATCAGCTTGGTTTGCTATGTTAAGTAGATAAGTGAACCAGTTCACAGCTAAGTATTACAGTAGAACCTTGGTAACTCAAACCTTGGTAACTTAAAAACCTCTATAACTTCAAAAAATAATATGTTCCCTTCCCATCAAAGCCCAAAACCGCTTTAACATAGACCCTTGATAACTTATAATATTTTGTGTTTCCTGTGGACTTTAACTTATCGAGGTTCTACTGTACTTGTACCTGCATGATTTGTGTTTCATTTGCATCTAATTATAAGATAAATGGATGCCACTAATATTTTGTCTATGTTGAAAATATGAGAATTGTGTTGAAAATGTGAGTAGTATTACAGCTGATTTAAGGCAATTAAGATCTTATTAAGGACTGTATATCTTTACTAACTAAGAGGAAAGATTTGTATTTTAGTATGTATTGAAATAACTCAAAAATTACTGGGCTATATAAAAAAATCCTTCACTATTAAAACAGCAAGTAACATAGCCATTATTTTTCATTTTATTTAATTTACGTGGGCCACAGATATATAGAGTGATAATCCTTTTGTAGATCGCCAAGTGGTGTGAAATTAGCAGACAGTGAGAAGAAGCGTTTGCTAGAAGTAGCAAGAAGGAATGCAATCAACATGTTGAAGAACGGCGCGGTGCCGGCGGGCGCGGCCGCGCTGCCGCCGCACACCAGGAACCAAGTTATGGCGGCCATACAGTCGGGAGGTAAACATTATTAGTAATAGCTTTCACGACTTCTTCTGCGTGGAATTAAAAAAAAACAAAAGTAAGTAACCTATGCCTTCTTCCAAACTATCCTCTATGTCTACGCCAATTTCAACAAGATCCATTCATCTATTTAGGTTGCAAACTCTAACAAATATCCATCCATCTAAACTTTCTCATTTATAAGTTTAATAAGAAATACCAAATATAAATATCAAAAATAAACCCTAGAGTATACATATAGAATCATGCAATTTATCCATAGACTGGTGGTGCCATTTTTCTATAGAATTGTTTAAATAAATAAAAAATTGCTATCAAACAATTATGATCATTGTGAAAATCAAAGACTAGAAATCATTATTGTCACCTTATAATTCTACTTCCACAGGTTGGCACAGTTAATAAAAAATTTAAATTTGTTAATTACATTGATTGGTTTGCCATTCCCTGCCATGTCATTGTCTATGGCACTTATTAATGATAGTAGATGTCTCTGTTAATGATTTACCAACTCTGAGTGAGGCAATAACATGTTAAATTCCAGGTAAGTCAGTGGATGAGCTGACAGACTTCTGTAAGCACTTGTCAAAGAAGGAAGCGCTCGGAGAGCTGTCCTCGGTATCCTCTAATGATGATAACATGAGTGAGAACGAGGACACCCTGGCGTTCCATCATCCATTCCTTGTAAAGGAGAAAGCGCCCATTGTTATGAATATTAGAGTAAGTTGTTAATGTACAGTCGCTGAAATTCGCGGTGTTTTATGCAGAAATACCTTGTTCCTTGGTTATTTGGTTGGTTATAGTTCATCATCTCACTGAGAAAAATCGTTCAAAATGATTAGGTTTTAAAGTGAACACTGCCAAATTCCCCGAATGTACATCTTATTGTTTTATTAATTATATATCTTATAAAGTAAATATTTAAATAAAACATTAAAAAACAGCATGTTTATTATATTTTATTATCATGTAATGTTTTTATTTTTGTTATGATTTTTTTTATTACTGTTAAGAAGTAAATCAGTACTGCGTTGGAGCTTCGGCGCATCACTAGATCATTGGCATATACGTCCGTCCGTCACTATGACAGCTGTCAATGTCAATGACAGCGCGCCATTCAGGCGGGAAGCAGTAGCCTGAGTAAAAATTTTCATTACGCTGTTACAATTATATTAATGTCTAAAATGACGTACATATATTATGTTAGTAGTAATAGTAAATATAGAAATGTGATTTTAAAGTATATTGGATTGTAGGGCGGCGCGCCGTTGCCGGTTAAGGCCGGTGTGGTGGCGGTCGCCAACAAGGAGGAGCTGCGGCTGCAGTTCCCCGTCTCCTCGGGCTCGCAGCACAGAGAGAAGGCCTGCGAGTGGGTGCCCGTCTCACCTAAGAAAGATATGGTATGTATATATTGTTTTATAAGTAATCTAGCTTTTGCCCGCGACTCCGTCCGAGTCGATTTAAAAAAAAAACAAAAATGAGTAGCCTATGTCTTCTTCCAGGATGTCCTCTGCATTTATAAAAAATTTCTTCGAAATCCGTTCAACCGTTTAGGCTACAAATTCTAAAAAACATCCATCCATCTAAACTTTCGCATTTATAATATTAGTATGAATATGAATAGTAGGATTGTTTTTTTTTTTAAAGAATATGAGTTAAATAAATTGTACCAAATTACGGCATAAATGTTAGTAAACTATATATGTTAAAAGTTGTTGTTCAACCAATGTAAATGCGAAAGTTTAGATGGATGGTTGGATGTTTGTTAGAGTTTGTTTGACCTTAACTGCTGAATGTATCTTGATGTAATTTGTCATAGATGCAGAGAAAACTCTGGAAGAACACATAGACTATTTACTTTTGTTTTTTTTTTTAACTCCACGCAGGTGGAATCGCGAACAAAAGCTAGTTGTTTATTGTGTGTTAAGTTATAAATAGTCAAATTTAATAGAAAATGTTACTAATTATAATTATTTAATTAGTTGACAATGTCATTTGTTTAGTTTAAATTGATGATACCAATAATAATAATTTAATAAACACTCTGTGAGTGAAGATTTTTTCATTTAATTGAAATTTTAAGTCGTAGTTTACATTTTCAATCTGTTAAAAATGTATAAAATTCGGTTATCTCAATGGTGAATATGTTTTTGTTTCCAGCAAGTTGCAAAATTGAATTCAAAATCAAGCTCATCAAAATCAACGTTACCTGCGATAGAATCGTCTAAGTAAGTTATTTGAATTTATTAAAATATCTGTCTATTTAATGCCATAAGATTTATAATATTTTATTTGTATACAGGAATGATATTCTGTCGTTGCCCGCGTCGCCCTCCGCTTATACAAGAAGCTCCAGTTCTACATCTCGTGAGTATACTTTAAATTATCTCAATGTTTTAATATGGCTATTACGTAATTTTCTTATGTTTAAAACAGAAATTTTTTAAGACAATATATTACTATGCATTAAATTTAATGAAATAATACTTTCTGTTACTTTCAAATTACGCAGAAATTTATATTTATCAAATTAATTTAAAATACAACAAATGTTAACGGTATGCAAGGGAAAGGGAAAACTTCGAGATCATTTATAACTTAAAATCTCCGTGGTTTTTACAAATATAATGTTCGTAATTCACGGGTTTCTTACCTCAGTTGGGTTGGTTTTCTTTTTCACACTTCCACAACACTTCAGTCAGGAGACCATGTTTTTAGCCGACTGCAATATTTTTCTCTATATTTTTTACATGTTTATTTTTAATGTAATATAAAAAAATTAGAAGTCAAAAATAATAAGTACTAATCCTTGACACAAATAAAAATCGTAAAATTGTGTCTTTCGACAGTGTACGTAGGAACCGTTGATATCATGTTTACTGTTTGCAGTACCATCTCTGCCCGCGCCTGGACCGCAAGTCTATCCGCCCGGTGTTGAAAATCCTAAACTGGTAAATTAACACTGTTTTACTTGTATTAAGGAATCTTAATAAATAAATTTAATTAAAAATCTAATTCTGGCCGAATTCATTAGCAATATGAAATTTTAAATAGATTGTTTGATGTTTATATCCGGCTCGAAGGACCACAATTTTTAATTGAATTAGAGTATACAATTTTCATAATGTACTGATATTTTGTAATTAAAAACAAATATTTATTTATTATAAATATTTATTTGTTAACCAGGATATGGCGTTGATCGTGTCTCAAAAATTATCTGTCATTCGTAAAGAACAAGAGGAGGGTGAACTAGGCACAAGAGGGGTGAGTACGATTATTTTCCTCCACTGAAAATAAAAAATATCCATCCATAATCATTAATATTTATAATACTAGTTTTCGCCCCCGACTCCGTCCGCGTGGAATTAAAAAAAAAAAACAAAATTGAGTAGCATATGTGTTCTTCCATATTATCCTCTGCGTTCATGTGGTCATGGCTTCAAACATCCATCCATCCATCCAATTTTTTGCATTTATAATATTAGTAATATTACTGAAGTAATTTTAAATAGATTTCTTATTCTTATTCTTAATTTTAAATAGAATTAAATCAAATTAAATTATAACATACTACTAATGTCGATGTAAAAATTGTCAAAAAATCCCTCTCCTACAGCAACTGTTGTAAATATTTGGTCGCCGATATGTCTTGAGGGAATTAAAAAGAAAGAGATTTTAGTCAGGAGGGATGCGTGTACTGTGCCAGCGACAGATTTTAAATGACAATTTTTATCTATAATCTTACTAATATTATAAATGCGAAAGTTTAGATGGATGGATATTAGAGTTTGTTACCTAGACGGCTGAGTAGCTCTCGATGAAATTTAGTATAGAGCATAGTCTGGAAGAACACATAGGCTACTTACTTTAATGTACAAAATATGCATTTTCTTGCAGTTTGGTTGGTCAAAGGAGACATTAGGACAGTTCACGGGCAGCACTGGCGCGCAGATCCTGACGCCGCGCGAGCTGGCCAGCGGCACACAGGCCTGGGCTAAAAAGGTAATATACACCCTATTTCTATACAAATAACACCACAATTTGATTGCGCAAATTGTTACCTTAATATTTGTGAGTGAGCAAATGTGACGCAATGTTTTCAAATATTGTCAGTGCAAAGTATTAAATGAAACCTGGCGTGAATGACGTCATTAGAGTTATTTAAATAATTAAATAGGTGAAGTCATTTTTATTAGAATGTTGGGGGGTGTTCGTGTATTGAAATATTATTTTTTTGTAATAAATTAATAGTTTTCTGATAAACTGATGTACATCAGATTTTCCCAATTTAGTCGTTGATTGAATTGTCCTTATATCATAAACAAACTATTAAAATGGATCAATATAACACAAAAACCAATCCATTTTTATAAAATTTTTGATTTAAAAAAGAATCCGTCATAAAAGTATCGGTTTCATTGAATACTTGTAGCGTGTGATTGAGTCTTCTTTCAGCAGCGCGGCAGCGGCGCGGGGCGGCGCGGCGCCGCGCTTTCTTACCAGTGTTACTCCTCACCTTATACATGGTTATGACAACATTGCAATATAAAACACATCATTATACTCTAGTGATGGGACTCGAGTGATTTTTTTTTCACTCGAGTCGCTCGGTACTGGTAACTTTCTCACTCGAATGCCACTCGAGTGAAGATAAGACTCGAGTGATGTTTATAGACGCGAGTCACTCAGTATATCAAATTCAAGTAACCAACATTTTAAAACCAATAAAACAATATCAATTTAACATAAAAAAATCATTTTCGCATTAACGTAAAAGTTACTCAAAAAAAAATATAAAAATGTGTAAAAATAGTATTTTCCTTTAACTAAACCTGTCTACTTAATCAAGAAACCTCTTATATAAACTATTAGTTGCAATTTTATAGTGTTTACTACTAATAAGTTCTAATCCATTTTAATTAACTCTAACAAGTAATTTCATAGAGATCCAAATATGAACAGTTCTATTATGTTTTTACACAATTTAGATAATAAAAATTCACTTAAATGAAGCTTAAATAAACCCAACAAAAAACCGAAATGGTGCATTTTTAAAAAGGTAACAGATTTAACTGAAATTGCTGTAAGAATTTATTACTCCACTTGGTATAAACCACCAAAGTAGTTGCGAGTCACTCGCAACTCGAGTTGTCAAAAATTTCACTCGAGTCCGAGTAAATTAAAAATGACTCGAGTCCCATCACTATCTCCGTCTAAATAAGATAGATTAGTTTGATAAATGACGCATATGATCGAATTAAATTTCTGTGAAGTCAAATGCCGTACTTAATTGACAGGTATCGTAGTGACGAAACAAACACGCATTGCGAACTAAAAATAAGAATTATCGAACTTAACTAAAATTATTATTTTCTTAACTAATATAGGGGACAATTCTAGTGTAGATTATAGCGTAGAAAATTTAGCGATGACGAATTGTGAATGATTATGTACGGCTGTAGTAGTAATAAATACAGTGTTTTTTTTTTAATTCATAAGTTTTAACTATGAATCTATCGATTCCAATTTCTATAAGAATAAAAATCGCAAAGATTCATGTCTGATTTTACACAACCCATCCCTACTTAATTGTCAAATGAATTGTCAAACTAATCAATTTTATTTAGACAAAGTATAGTTGCTAAAAAAGTTTAAGGGATATTAAAGAGTTTCACTGTTCGGAACATAGCAAAAATTGCTAAACAAAACTCAATTTTTAGTGACGCGCAGTTTGACCTTGAACCGCCTTAAAGTACAAAACAATTACTACCTTTTAAAATCAACGCCACGGGGCCTGTCCCAATTGTAAATTGTTATAACAATCCAATGTGTAAAATATGTGATGGAAATATAGAATTTTGTTCCCTTATGACAGTGACGTCATTTTTAAGCTATCTGAACCTCTATCAGTCAGTGGTGGGACAGGTCCTAAGAATTAAAAAATTAAAGTTTTCAGAACAAGATGGTTTTTATCTTGTTATTGGAATAGTTGGCTTTTGAATTTCGAAGACGCTATAAAGGGTTGCCATGTCAACATGCATTCGACAAAATCGTAAAGTTATACCAGAAAACAAATTATTTTATAAAATAGATAAAATATCATATATGCTGTATATTTTGTGTTATTAATATGTTAATAAATTTACCGAATTATTAATAACAATTACACTGATGGACTTATTTTAATGTAGAATATTAGCAATGTTGTTTTAACCATCAATTATATTCGTACGTTTTTCGTTATCGTGTGAAGAAAGAACTAAATAGTTCGCTCTTTACACCGTGAAAATTCGAGCTCTGACCGCTTGGTAATTATCATGCCTTAATAGTATTGAAAGATTACGTTTGAGCTTTTGAAATGTTTTTTACTCTGTAATTTTTACAAAATTAGGTTTTGTAATCTGATTTTGTATTACACATCTTAATTTGATTTCGAAAAGAGTTAAAAGGCGTGTTAATTATCATTAGCGTATATGCACACAAATATTCAGTTTTCCCCTATATTTTTTAAAAAATTGACTGGCGTTAATTCTAACATTGCAATTGTCAAAAAAATTTTGCCATGTTAGAATTTTTTTTCTGAATTCAATAAAAATCTATAATCAATAAAAAAAATGTTAAGTTTTTTTTTCATTTCTTTATTCAGTCGTCAGTCGTTTCGTCGAATTTGAAGCCGCGCGATCCTTTGCTCTATAGGTAGGGAATATTTTTCCCTACTCCAGCTTTAAGGAAAGCGGGGCTTATCGGGGGATTTCTTGAATATTTGTTGCAGCTTTTAAGTGATAAGGAGCCACGGGCTTTTAGATGCGGCACGGTACGCCGATGATAGGTGCAATGTATACCAATGTTCCCAATCCGCAGAGGTAAGTATCAATTGGGCAAGAAAAAGGTACAATATGAATGAATGTGGAACATTTAGCGATTGTACTTGAGTTTTTCTTCTCCAGATGAAATTACAACTACATTAATTGTTGCAGGAATTTTTATAGTTTAGTATTTCACCATACAGGGTTTTATATTTCCACTGTCATCGTTAAAACTTATACTTTATTGTAGTAAACTAAATCTTATTTCTAAATTTATAAAGCAAAGTGTTATTTTTAAAATAATTCAGTTAGTATTGTTTATAATAATGTTTTTAAAATGCCTTATCGTCAATTTACATCAGAAACTTTGCAATTATTTGTCTCAAACTGATGAAATATTGTTAATTATCTGCATATATATAGGATCAGTTGGTCCGCGCGGCGCCAGTAGAGGGCGGTATGGGTATGCACTTGCTGCAGAAAATGGGCTGGACCCCAGGCCAGGGTCTGGGTAAAGAAGGAACGGGAACACTACAACCGTTACTTCTGGAAGTCAAATTGGATACGAGAGGGCTGCAATCCAAAGAAGAAGTCAGAAGTAGACCGTCCAAAGGGGTAAGTGTTGACTTGTTAAAATAATACTAGGTAATTTAGTTTATCTATTGTGTAGATATTTAAGATATATATAAATTGCGAAAACGACTCTTTAATACTGGTATTCAATTGTTATGAAATATTATGTTGCAGTTTTTAACTAAATTTATCAAATAATGTATAGATAAAGCCTCAGAGAGCGGGGCGTCGCGGTGGAGCGCCGCTAATAGCGGGCGGGAAACATCCTGTATCCCTGCTCGGGGAGTACTGCTCTAAACAGAAACTGGGTCCGCCGGAGTACAGTCTCTGCTTCGAGTGCGGCCCTGATCATAAGAAGAATTTCTTATTCAAGGTATGGTTAATTGATCAATTATGATATCTTTAAATGTACAATAAAGTTATGTTAGCTTACTAGATTAGATTATATTGCAACAAATTTACATAGAAATTCTGTGTTAATAATTCCTTTTTAATAAGCCACCTGAATTTGCCAAAATAACGAAGTGACTGCTTCCCTTAGATATTCAGAAATAGAAATGTTGCCTAACCATAAAGACGAATCTTAAATGGAGGGGACACACAAAAAGTGGATATTAAAAGCACACCTTTGCAAAATCTGTCCCATTTTACTTATATAAGAAGGGTAAAAAGGGGACTAAAACCAGCCCGTCAACATGAATAGTAATCAGATGAATCATGGAATTACTTCCACTTCACATATGTTTTTATAAGGTCTCGAAGGGTAGTCCAAACTTTGCTAAGAACTAAGTTATTTGTAAGAGTTAAGCTGCATACAATTTTTTTAAGATGTTAATGAAAATTATATTTTTTATTTACAGTTGTAGATAGGCTGACATGTTTGTTCTAGGTGAGAGTGGCAGGTGTTGAGTATCAGCCGGCTGTGGCCAGCGCTAACAAGAAGCAAGCAAAAGCGGATGCTGCACAGTTGGCATTACAAAACATTGGCATCTCCATAGAATAAAATTTAATCCAATTAAAATGCCTTTTTTTTTACTATCCTACATGAATAAAACAATAATATAATTGATTACATTATTATATTTGAAGTTTTATTTTCCAAGACAAAATTGCACTACATTCAGAATCAGGAATTTCTAAATTCTATCTTTGTGCCTAAAACATTGAATTGTAACAGGATTTTCTATATAAGAAGTTTGCGAATAACTGCCACTTAGTAGCTAAAACCACAATTCTAAATAACTTCCATCATTTTTTTTTCAATCACAGATCTGTTCCAAAGCCTTCATCTTCTGCAAAGTCTATTCCTTTTGAGGATTCTGCTGTTTGATGCGGTAGTCTGATAGAGCTGCCTTAATAGCATCTTCAGCAAGCACTGTAAATTAAAAAGTATATTATCACTGGAAATATAGAAGAAACTAAACATTTTATAAAATTATACTTACTAGAACAGTGTAGCTTAACTGGGGGCAAAGATAATTCTTTAGCAATGTCAGTATTTTTCAATTTAAGAGCCTCATCCACGGTTTTGCCTTTAACCCACTCAGTTGCCAGAGAGCTGGAAGCGATAGCAGAACCACATCCAAAAGTTTTGAATTTCGCGTCAATGATCTTGCCGTTTTCATCAACTTTAATCTGCAGCTTCATGACATCACCACAGGCAGGTGCGCCCACGAGACCGGTGCCAACATTTTTGTCTTTTTTATCTAAAGATCCTACATTACGAGGATTCTCGTAGTGATCAATAACCTGAAAATTGTTACACAATTATTGAATTACATTTTATAAAAACATTCTGATATGATAAGAATTGTGAAATCATATGAAAATCAATAATCCTTGACATTGGATTGCATTGCATAAGAATAACAAACTCACATTTGCATGATATGCAGCAGTTTGTATAACGTTGATGTTGCTTGATGTGTTTAAGCAGAAGCATCTCCGTAAATTAGGGATTAGGTACGCCATACTTCCAAGGCTTAAATTTGTAGTATTGATATTAAAAGCTTTGTTAGTAGTTCTTTGGAATTCGTGCAACGCAGTACAATAATATATTGATTTTTTGACAGTTTGACTCAAGTTGACAGCAAAACACAATGGGTCAATGGCGCTGAAATACAGTTTAAAAAATGATATCTAAAATTAAATTGAAGGAATTCTCTTTCGTTTTTTACCAGTTGCCAATAAGTTTATTCATGAATACGGTTAGTAATAAGATAAGCAGAATTAGTTATTCTGTTATTTTTGTAAGTTTAAAGTAATTAGCTCGAAAACTCTTTACTGCGACCAATCACAACCATCAGTGCCCAATAAAGAAAATCAAATAGACAATATTGAATAGCCTGTCCAATAATAGAGTGAATTTCGGGGAATTAGATGGAATAACCATGGTAGTACTACAAGAAAAATAACTGGAGCATAGTAATTAATACCTCCATGGGAATACCTGATTTATACTCTGTGGAATTAAAGTATAGTGGTACATGCTTTTTTTGGTAGCCGGTAATTTTATGAAATAAAAAATAACATTTAATGTCAGGGTAACAGTTTACTTCGCATCTTTACGCATTTTGTATGGTTTTTTAATGTTTTTCCATGAAGTAAAATGATGAAAGTGTTTAAAAATAGCGCAAGAGAGTTTTTTTTAAAGTGGGAGATATTTTTGTCGCTGAGAAGAAGTAGCAGGGGGCTACTTCTTCTCAGTTATTACATTTGAAAATGTGAATCATCTTGTGTCTGTTGCAATCAGAATTTGTTACCATTCCATACCACAAGAAAATCCCTAACTATCAAGGCGACGCATATTTTTAGATTTTAATTTAAAAATTAATTGTGATACACTAATCGAAAAAATGTATTTTGCTGAAAGTTGTTTTATTACATACTTCAATTTGCAATGACCGAACCTTTAATTGTAGCCTTTTTTGGGTAACTGGAAGTATGGCCTTCGTAATAAAAATTACATATTTACTCATGTAAACTATTACATTACTGATTACACTAGTACTCAGTAATGTATCAAAAACTAATTGTCTGATAATTTTAAAACGCACAGTTCAAATCCCGGGGCATACCACATAGTTTGTACTGTTCGTTGCTTGTAAACAAACAATCATTAAGATTATTCTGTAGATGAGCGCTAAGTAAGACATTTTCTCTTATGTTAAGACTACTCCTTCCCTAACTGTCTCAAGAGAGTGCATCGCCAAAAGTTTTCTGTTTCTTCGATCGAAGATTCTTTAACTATATAGTCTTTTGACCGACAAACGAAGTCTGGGGCATTTTCTAGTTACATTATAAGGTACGAGTACTTCCTTTAGAATTTGCGTTTTCGTTTTCAAAACAAAATAATTTCCCTATAATGTGGACATAATAACTTGCTGTTAACCCTAAATGCTCAGAGGCGCCCTCCTGTCAATGTCAAAAAGGTGTGCCACAAAAGCCTTGTAGGACTATATATCGAAGTACATCAGCTGTCAGTGCATTTTGTTAAATTAATTTGCGCGTAAAATCATGACAATTGGTTTTCGGCGTTTGTGTAAACTTGTCGTTCCCATTGCCGGTAACGTACTTAGCCTATCTCGTGCACAATTTGCAACCATGTAAGATTTATATTTTCGTGTTTTTGTATTAGTCATTATATAACATGTGTAATTTACGCCATAATTTGTTTACATTTCGTGTATCTATTTTGTTTGTCATGTAACTTGCTTTTCAAGTGATTTATGTTGTAGTTTTGATAAATGTATGATTTTGATAGATTAATATTATCATTTTATAGAAAAATGGCAACCGCCAGTATTGATTACAAAGCGGCGAGCAGCATACATGAATTTACTGCAAAAAATATCAAAGGACAAGATGTAAGCTTGGACATTTACAAAGGTCATGTTTGCATTATAGTTAACGTCGCATCTCAATGTGGACTTACAGCAAATAACTATAAGCAGTTAAATGAACTGTATGATCAATATGCTGAAAGTAAAGGTAAGCATGACTGTCAAGAACTTTGAAGCAAAAAAAATTAGTAAGTAATAATTAAAGATTGAATGCTAATAAGATGTAAGGCTTTCGTAAGGTATTCTCATTTGTGTGATGTTAAATTATAGTTAATTTAATACAACTATTTTATAGTAAATTTCTTCACAGGTTTACGGATTCTAGCTTTCCCATGCAACCAGTTTGCGGGCCAGGAGCCAGGTGATTCTGAACAAATTGCTTGCTTCATATCAGATCGCAAAGTCAAATTTGATATGTTTGAAAAGATTGATGTCAATGGAGACAGTGCACACCCATTGTGGAAGTTTCTAAAGGTACAGAAAAGTGTTTTATTATTTTATGTTAACATAGATTGCTCTGTTTAGCCTTATTCCAAATATATCCTTACAAAGAATTTTAATCAGATAATGTCTAAAAGTAGTAACATAATGGTAAGCCATATTAACAAGTATTCCCTTTTCCATAAATTATATGTATGGTTGGAAGCATGTGGACAGACCGGAACATGTTTTATACATTTTTGGTGCTAACTGTACATGTTTAAAATTATTCATCACATTTGTTCAACAAACACATTTTAAGATAACTTTGTTTGGGTTCAAAGATTATGTGTAGTCACACATAATCTTTTTTTTTTACAAATGTTGTAATCATTGGTTTTGTTTTGATTTCAAGTAAAAAATAATTTAATGTTAAATGTTCTCAATGGATGATTTTTTTTGTTACTACCCCAATGAAGTAGTTTTATGATCTCAGTATATAAACTAAATGTTCTACACAAAGATAACATATCAGGATCTATATAATTCTAGATTAACTTATCTACAAAAAAATCGAAACAAGCAATTGATTTGTATCTATTCAATGACTCACATTTATTGATTTTTTTGCTCTTGAACTCGATGGCTTATCATGACCTTGTAATAGTTATTATGGAATATTCCATTTCCATGTTACTTCATTTCGTGAGTATATAATATAATTACTTTGTGCTTTTCAATTAAGGTAATGTCCTATTTTCTATTCAGCTATAACAAAAAAAGTTTACCAAAGATTCAATAACCCCATTAAAACCCCCAATAACCCCCAATAAACCCATTAAAAATGCTAGTTGCGATAATCATAGCTAAAAGGTTCAATTTCTATATTCATCCACCTCCAAGAGAAATACGACAAAAGTATTAATTTGGTACATGAAAATGTATTTGTCTGTGGCACAAATTCAGTTATTTGCCTGCTTCTCATAGTTACTCATCATATAAATTGTATTCATTTCCTAGTATTGTGTTAATAAATAATGAATCAAACTGTATTGTGACGTATTCTCATATCGATTTTTTGTCGCCTTGAAACTTTATTAGAACCTTTGTCGTACTTTACAATGTTAAATTACTAATAGATAAAAGATTAAAATTTTCGTGTTTTGATGACAACTATGGAATCAATGTTCAACATAGCATTTGTAATTTTCCATATTAATTTTATGTATGGGTCAATGCAAATTTGGTGTTGACAGTTTAATTCATTTGTATTTTTTTATATTCCCAGCTCAAGCAAGGAGGTACCCTCGGCAACTTCATCAAATGGAATTTTACCAAATTTATTGTTGACAAGAATGGTGTGCCAGTAGAGAGGCATGGTCCAAATGTTGATCCAGTAGATTTGGTTAAGTCTCTTGAAAAATATTGGTAAAATTTGCAAGATATGGTCATATATTCTCTGTAATTTTTATAAACACAAATCACTAAGGCTTGAAATTTTTTCATGTTAAAATATTGTTGTTTATATGTATTTTGACATAGATATGTGTTTATTTTACAATTTGTCAAATTCTTATTAATGAAAATGTTATTTAAGACTGTTACAAGAACTGTTACTGTTTTAAGAGGAATGTTGAAATATGTTAAGATTATTGTTTTAGAAGCATTTTGTGTATTTATGTTAGAAGTCACAACTTTACAAGGCACTGAAAAATCTTTTCTAACTTAATTACTTCAAACTTGCAATTATTGTTAAGTTACTTGATTTGCATTTCGTAATAAAATATTTTTTTATGTTGCAGTAGTCTTATGTTGTTTTATTTTAATAAACTATATTAAAGCATAAAGCCACTATCTTTATTTTTTCTTCCGTATTTAATTGTAAGATAAAATAAGAAAAACTGTGTTCTGAGAGTTTGTGTCCACTTTTTAGAGCACAGCTTTCAGTTGTATTGAAAACATCTTATCTAATTTAGATGTGAGATTAACACTTATATCGAGAATTAAGTATTCGGAAAAAGGAATATCGTTTTTATTGCATTTTTTGTCTGAACTAGTATATACTATTCTAAACGATCTAATAAATCTTTTCTCAAATAATAAAACTATCTTCCTGGGCAGGCTATTCATTTTTTTTTGCTGTCACTGAAATAAAAATCATTATAGTCTGTGGACATATGTCAATTTGTAATGGCAGATTGACAGCTTATCTAATTTTAGCGCGCTCTATTTTTGACCAATCGCAGTGGAAGATTTTGAATTTTTTTCTGTTACGTCGTTGACGCTTGGCTTTGCTTTGCGTTGGTATTGATGTGGATTTGGATTGTAATGTTTTGTTTTGTCACACGCGAATAACTAAGTTATAAATGTATTAATTTGAATATATTTACCGCTGAAGATATCATTGGCCATTGATAGCTATATAATTTATATTATTTTAGATGAAGCGTCATAAGCTACGTGTGGGGTTGTTAATTTTAGAAGTCAAACGTGAAGCGTAACAGGAAAGTTTAGTGTAAATGCACTGATTTTTACTATTTGTGTTGTGGTGTGTTTAATGTTATGATGTCTACTAGAAGCGGTAGAGTAAGACAGAGTTTGATAGAACCTTCGCCTCGTTCGCGTAAGGGTATTTCACCATCACGATCTCCTGCTAGGTCTAGAAAAAGTTCTCCTGCTACGCGCTCATCGATCCAAAAATCCCCATCTCGTAAATCGCCTACTAGAAAATCGCCTGCTCGTAAAACTAAAAACACGGCTTCAAAGTCACCGTCGAGACCAGTCAAAGAAACCGAGACTGCTACAGTAAGTACACCAAGTAAACGGCAATCTCTGAGGTCAAATGTAGAGATTAAATTATCTGATATAGGCGATAAGGAGCTCTATCGGACTACACGTTCACGTCTTATTGAATATTCAATAGGAGATCTGCAATCTAATGCAACAGAATCTAACTTGATAGTAGATGATCATAAAAATGGTTTCGAATCTAGCTTTACTACGTTCAGTGACTATAACTTCCGCATTCGTAAACCTCTTGAAGTACCACAACGCATGTCCAGGAGATTACAACAGTTTGCAGACAGTTCAGACAGACGAAGCATCAGTAAATCAATCAGTGAGAGAAGTAAATCAATTAGCAAGTCTATAAGCAAATCCATTGGTACAATATCAGACGAAGAGAATTCAGAAGATGAACTCCCCAGAAGGAAATCTACATCTGTCACAAGACGATTAGCAACACCACTAAGGGCAAGTGTAGCAAAATTGTTGCCAGTTAATAAGAAATTTGAATTTGGAGGCAAAATGGGTCCAATATTATTAATAATATTAATACCTTTGACTGTATTTTTTATATTAATGTCCGGTTCTAAACTCTGTTCACACAGTCATCTTCATGATTTGTCTAAATTTAAGTCTATTAATATTTGGTTCAATTACGAGTCAGTAGTACTTCTTGGAGTTCAGTACTTAATTCAGGCTTTGCTTGTCATTTTGCCTGTTTTCGGCCAAACCAACAAAGACAATGATAAAGGAAAGAAGCAGTGTTTTAATGCATTTTTCTCTACTATACTTACTACTATCATCTTGTTTTCTTTAAATTATATAAAGAAAGTAAATGTTGATGCTATAATGAAGTTATATTTGAGTTTAGCGGCTACATCATATATTGCTAGTGTTTTAGTTGCCTTATTTCTATATGTCAAGAGCAGGAAAATGGACTCGGAATTATTAAACCCATATGGGAACACAGGATATTTTATAAATGACTTTTTTGTTGGAAGAGAAATTCATTCATTTATAAAAAAATTTAACATTAAACTATGGGTTTCCCGAGTATGCAACATAAATACTGTAAGTATTCAATTAATATTGTAACCTTATGATTACTAAATAACTGATATTAATGTAAAATTTTAACATTTTCAGCTTATTCTATCGATACTTATTTTCAAATGTGGCTTTCAACTACCAACAACAGACATTCAAATGCTTTCGTTGGAAAACCTCAAGGAGTTTATAAGTAAAGTGCACTACAAACCCACTATTGTGCTATACTCAATGATGCAAATAATATACATATTGAATTATATCTTAAAAGAGCATAAAATAACATCAACTTTCTACTGGCAATCTGAAGGGTTAGGGTATCTGCAGATAGTTTGTAGCGCCCTCTATCCTTTCTATTTCACAAGTATATCTAAATATGTAGTTGATGTTGAATTAGAGATGTCTACTAATGCATTAGTTGCCGCATTAACACTGTTCCTGTTGGGATTCCTTATAATGCTTATAAGTAACAATATTAAACACGAATTCCGGAAAAATCCATTCCATCCTAATGTTACATGTGAGTACTGCCATCTGTTTTTTTTTCTGCAAGTGTATAAAATCGTAGGAATTTAGCTAATGTTTATTTAGTCAAAGATTATAATAATTACCCATTATCTTGTAATCCAATATTATTTTTATTAAGCTACATTAGCACTGAGTATAACTATATTTCTTAAATACGCCCGGATTATATCGCGACTAAAGCTAATTACTGTTAAAATATAATGATTTAAATGTTTTAGGTTTAGATTCAATGCCTACGTTCCACGGCAACAAGCTGCTGGTATCCAACCTTTGGGGAACTCTTCGTCATCCAAACTACACTGGTGATATCATAATACATATAGCGTTTGCTTTACCAGGCATTATTACTAAGAAACCTATAGCAGCATTGCCTGCAGTGCTAACTATGTTCGTTTTATTACATCGTGCATGGCGTGACCATAACAGATGTTTACAACGCTATGGATCTGCCTGGCAACGTTACTGCAAGAGAGTGCCTTCGGTGATTATACCTAAGATATTATAATTGTCATTAGAGTAAGCTCTCATGGCTGAATGACGACAATTACTTTGACAAGCTATATTTTTACAGTACTACGTTTCTAGATAGTACGAGCAAGTCTGAGAGCTCAGTATAATATATCAATAGACAGATGTTACATACTCTGAAAATAATTATTTGCAATTATGTTTAAAAGATTGTAGGGATGCAATCGTAATGTCTGCTCTATAACTATTTTTGTATTTTGTAATCTCTATGGCAATCGTCATTTGATCAACTTTGAATTATTTGACATTTATTTATGTTTGCTATTTGATATAGCTGGTTTTTCTATGTTTTTGTAAAGTATTTTTAGTTAGCACCAAATATGAAAGATTGAATGAGTTATGGTCTTTCAGCACAATTTACTTAGCAGTTGTTAAAACTGTACTTAGTGTTATGCTATATTTTTTATAACTGGTATATTTTGTTTAGGAGGTTTTAAATTACTTTGACTACAAATTATACTTTTTTGATGTTATTAGAAAATTGGACTATAACAGTCAATAATGGATCACTCTAACGTCTTTTTTTCTAAAAGAAAACAGTGAAAACAGCCTTACAAATAAACGCGGTAAAATTTAAACTTAGTAATAAACTGGGTATAAGCAAATATTAGTGAAAATTTAATTTATACTCAGTTTATTGCGAAGTTTTACTTTATACCGTGTTTATTTGTAAGGGTGTCACACTTCTGTGCTATTTAAGATATTCCTTTTTTTTTGTAATCTCATGACATTCTAAATGATGGTGTAATTGAACATTAAATGCTGTTTTTTTGTATGAAACATAAATCAATTTTACATTTTTATGCTTATGGATGAGTGCCATACGATATAAACATTTTAAAAGACGTAAATTATGTATTATTCATAGGTTATTGTATTATTTTTATATTTTTAAAAGTACAATAGATTTAGAGTAGATTTAATATTTTAATATTTACTTTAAACAGATGTTTGTAAGGAGTTGCATTATTTAATTGATTGTACTATTGGTATGTTTTTGAAATATTCTATTTGATCCAATGTAAAGTAGGCTACACACATTTAGTTCTGTATGGACATTGTTCATATAGAATGTGTATAGCTGCCTTTGCAATAAATGAAAGCTCATGGGAAGGTGCATTGACTTAAGATTTAGAACAATTTCTCACAGGGTGATATTTTTAGCTCTATCACCTTTACAAATAGCATTTAGTATTTGCAAGCTAGCCTCTAGTAAATAATGTATTAGTTTTGTAAAAGAATCTCTCTGTTTATGCTAATCACATCTAAAGATACTACCTTGCCATCTGTACCACCGTCAGAGTTCTTTATAAAAGTATTTTAATGTATTTACTGATGTTGCTATTGCAAAAATTAAAGTGTGGCTATATAAATATTTTTAATGAATTATCTAAAATTACTTTTGGAATTTTATAGTTAAGTATAGTAGTTTAGTATTGAAATTGACATTAATTTTTACATTTTTTTGTGACAAAATCATGATCATGAATCTTTAAAATTTTAAAGTATTATTTGGAAGATCTAATTGTACACATGTTTTACTACATACTTACCTGAGCAAAAATCCCAAAAGTTAAGAAAGACTTTTTAAGTCATTTTTCTTCTGAAAAAATCATTATGTTCGGGGGGACCAAGTAAATTTGATCAAAAAATTTTGAACAACAAAATAGAATGATTGTATTTTTAAAAATTAGGAGATTGACGTTTTTGTCTAAAGTAGATATTTATAAAAATCTATTATAAAAATTATGTTAAGTAGAAGAAATGTAAGATTTTTTTTATCAATAATTATTTACATTTAAATAAAGATAATGTAATGAACAAGTTATAAAAAATGCCACCTTGTTTTATAAAATTTTGATCATTTATAGATTTTAAATAATGCTAGGAAATTGATCTAATAAATGTCTCAAATTATGGATAAATTTTATCGTAGACGTAGACAGGGTTTGTGATCTATTCGTGATTTTCACAAGCTTTAAAAAAGTCCATTAGGACATACTTTTTACAATTCACAATAATAATGCTCAAATTATATTCCAAAATTTTTATCCACTTATTTTACATTATTTACATTTCTGTGAAAATTAAAAAAATTGTTGAATTATTTTTCAACCGCCAGTTTTATATTATTTTATGTTGGTAACAATGTAACTTGGGCTTAGTTTTGAGACTTGTTTGTCTAGGTATAACGTAATTTTAATTTGTCAGCAATAGATATATGCCAATAATCTCATTGAATTTTTTAAATATTTTGTGAAAGATTGTGACAAATCTTAATGTTTTTAATAAAATTTTATTTAACAAAAATGTTGTTTCATTTGTTATCCAATTTAATTTTTATGTTTATAATAACCAAGGGTCTCTTTCTAGGCAAATTCTAAATTGCCCGTAAAAACAATGGTCTTCAACATTTTTTCAAACAAATGAAACTAAACGTGGGTATTTCAATATCACACACTACGGATGCATCTTAAATGAAACAATTTTTTATCGCTTTCTTTATTTTTTCTATAAAAACACATACAATTGTAAATAATAATTTAATATTCAATTATCTAGTTACACATTTATTCATATACACACCGATAACGTAGGTATTTGAGATGTTCCTAAATTGAAAAACAATGGACAATGCGAAGTAACAAAGCAAAGTGCACATATATTTTATATTTATTATTTACTAGCTACATATTTTTAAATCTACATTTGGCCAGTTATTGCTTAACTTCACTACTTTTAAAAGAAATGAGATACACAGTTAGCTTGACAATGCTTTCCTCCATAAACCTACTTGATATTTATTACAATACAGATAATAAATTATAGTACAATCAAAAACTAGACCAGTCTACCGTGGCTAAAACTGTTGCTGCTTAGAAAATATTAAAGAAAAAAAGGTCATTTTGCAGTATGAACTTAGACATAAATTTACAAAGTTCTGCTTTTATGTATGAATAAAAATTATTGAAAAATAAACCGATTTGAGTCTTGTCATATACTCGGTTACATATAGATTTAAACAGCTTTCGAATGTTATAATGCATATAAAAGAATTGTCATCGGTAAACAATTTGAAGAATTTTACATACATTCTACAATAATGACTGATATGTAACTCTTGTATGTTTGGAAGCGTTGGTATTGTGAATATAAATAGAAACAACAACCTATAGAAGTGCAGAGGATTTTAAATACACATTTTTCATATCGGGTCATTAATGTGTGCGTTTTTTTAACTCTGTATAGTTTCACAATGTTTAAATTTCCCTAGCCCTAGAATACAGCACTATATAGATAGAAGATTCCATGGTTCCTAACATCAAAGTTAACCTTTTAACTGCCATCATCATATAAATTAAAAAGGCAAAGGATTCATCGACATCGAGAATTCTGCGTAAATCGACTAGCAACTAAACACATCTTACAGGAATGATAAAAATATATTCACATAGGCCAATCGTGAAATAATAATAATTAGATCTATGTAACATGTACATTTCTTTTTTTCTAATAAACATTCATTAATAAGCTTTACACTATTTTAATACTTTACAAGACATTTAAATACGAAAGTTCAAAGTTTATAGGTTCTATAAATTATCAATTAAGTTTTAAAAACAGGAGAATTGGCACAAAACAATTTAACCGACGCGAAATTATATAGGCTTAATTTTGGCACTAGTTCTAATTCCCACTTTTTCCAAAGTAGAGTAAAAGCAAAGAAGCACGATTCGTATTATAAACAAAAATGTACATTGTTTATGAACTAAAAAAAAGCGATGCCAATAATTTCCACTTATGCATTCATTAATTAGTAAAGAATTTGAAGGACTTAGATCATACTTTCTAAGAAATTATGGTAATTTATCATAAGACATCAATTTGAATATTAAAAGCTGGATCGTATTAAATCTATAATACATTTTACAGCATAATATTAAGTTTATTTTAAAATGGACATAGATTAAAATAAAATTGGGAAACATAATTATTAACGGGGAAGACACACAAATATTTTATCTATGCTATTTAAGCTCGACCGACAATAGTTTAAACCACGCTTGTAACGGCCGTATTGTTAGTTAATGGGCTAACTGATCATATTATTTTCATCAATTTTAATCACATGTAATTAATATTTAACCGACTTCTTTTATAATTATTTTGTGGTAGTAAAACACGACCTACTTTAATAAGATTTTATGAGATACGTTAAAGTTTTCTAGTTATTTGGTTCCGTTTAACATTTATTATGAAAATATACATTTAAATCTATAAATTATATGGGAGTATATACAGAGTAAAATATTTACAATTGTGACATCTTTTTATAAAAAACATAACTTGTTGGAAATTCTTTCTTAGCAAATTATTTCACACTTGATTATGGTTAAAATATTATAAATCGAATTTAATAAAGTAAAGTATTTTATTGGCTTTATGGCAGTGTTGTTCTAATGCAAACTGTTTCGAAAACAAAATTGTACATTGTAGATATTGCATTTTGCCTTTTTGAGTTTATCTTAAAAGGTTCATACAACGAAAAATTATTCAACCTCGAAGTTTGGGTACAAAATTAGCCATGCAAAGGTTAATTACCAGAGGTTTTTGCACCTCTATAAATCGGACATATTGAACTGCGGACAGAGGATGAATTCAAAATTCTGTTTTAATTTAAATTTAACGCTATGCGAAAACATACAAATTACTCCACATCTTAAATGAGTATATTACTATAGATATACATATATACTATTTAAAATGGCCGGAACAATTCAAAACGAAGTTAGAGGCAATACAAATTATCCATATAGAAAGTTGAATCTGCCAATATTTAGCTGTTGAACGAATTTAAATAAATACGTATAAGGTAAACGTATTATATAAAACATTCTTATAATAGGGATACCTGCATATTATCATAGTTGTAATATAGGTGGTCTTTATTAAATAATTTTGCTGTATTTGTGGCAACATTATTTGATTGTTACCAAAGGCGTCGCCAACCAATGATACAGACTAGGGAGATGATGGACTTTAGTAGTAAACATGTTTTTTTTAATTGCAAAAGAAACTAAACATTATTTAAAATGATAACTGAGAAGTATTTTTTTTTTATTTCCACCTTCACATGCTACTTCCTGGCGACGCCCATACATTACATTCATTTTATAACTATGGGCTATGCTAACCACTTTAGCTAAAGAATTGGATCTACACATCAATGTCTCTCACAAGAAATTGTAAACACCGAGATGCTAGAATCAATAAAACTACACATGTATAGATTTAAAGATAAGAATTATTCCATTTAATTATAGATTTTATTATTTTGCAAATTAGTAACAACATTTTAGTCTTGAACATTATTTCAGTGACACATTAAATTTCTTGCATTATTTACCATACAATAATTATTTAGAGATCGTGGTGAAAGACGGTTACGGAGTTAAACTATGGGGAAAATGGATAAATTAAAAAAATTGATGATTCTGGCAGCGGTACACAAATCTATGTATTACGATATTTTTTTTAAACTTCACGAAGCCAGAATAATTTTTGCTAAATGAGGATTTAAGTTAAGGTGCGTGGCGCGAGACTGGTCTCTCGCCGCTGGTGCCCCGTCAGAAGTTGCTGTCGAACACGCCCATAGAGCGTACGATGTCTTCGTCGCGTAGACAGCAGTCGAGAAACTCGTCCAGTGTCAGGACGCCGTCGCGGTTTAAGTCCATTTTCTGGAAAATATCCGGCAATTTATACTTAGCTTATTTCTACGTCGTACACAAAGTTTTTTTTAAAAGAAAATTGCCGTTTTCGCAATTCATATAATTTGAACCACCTTTTGAATTTAAACAGTAGTTAATTAATTAGAAATATATATTGTATATCAGGACTGAATCTTTATGAAAGAAACTAGCTGCCACACCGAAAGTAAATTATAGTTCTTCAAAAAGCCCTTTAATAGCCACGAATCAAATCTGTAGCAGCAATTCATCAGAATTAGCTTTACCTGAAATAATCTTTCAACTTTCTCTCGGACAGCATCGTCGTCTATCATGGGCTCGACAATCTTGCCCATGAGGTCGTAGATAGCTGTCACTATTTCAGTCATCTCTTCCTTAGTTATGTAGCCGTCGCCGTTGATGTCGTATAACGAAAAAGTCCAGCGTAGCTTCTCTTCCAAAGTACCTCGGGATAATATTGACAAGCCGGTTACGAATTCCTGAAACATTATGTAATATTTTAAGAACCAAGAAATAGTCTCAAAAATATACCTCATTGTATATTATTTGCTAATTTTTTTCGTAAAGACTTTAAATAGCTAATTTAAGATTACCTCAAAACTAAGAAGTCCACTTCTGTCTTGATCCAAAGTGTTGAAAACATAGTGAGCATACTGCGCCGTGTTGGCTGAAACGAAAATGTTGAACATAACTAAAATGTAAATTCAATTTCTTTTGTGACATTTAGAAAACTTTTTTATTAATCTTGATTAATCATTCCACTAAACGTGAAGGACACCCGACGATGGGTTTGAAACTAGTCGCTACTTCCACCGAAGTACACGTGAGCTTACCCGTGATTGCTATTGATCTTACGAAACTTTGAAGTTTACCGAATTATTAAGTACTTCGACAAAACTTTTAACTGCTTTTCGTCTACAAAAGATAAGAAATACTTTTTAATTATAAATTAATTCATACGTTTTAGCATAACAATATTAAATCTACTAAGTATTATTTTACTAAGCTTTAGCTTGTGCTAATTTCAGATATCTTGGCGGCTCTAACGCGCGTCCGTGACCTTGGACCGTCGACATTTGGAAAGAACTATATAAATGAATATTACTAGAATAGTTTTTACAAATTTCTGCTGATTCGGAAAAGTATACTAAGATACTGCTTATCTCGCCTTCGCGAAATGCTTGCAATGATTACAGTAAGGTAGTTTAAAAGTAGTAACGAATTTCTAGTATTCATGGCTTTATTACTACACTCACCATATTATATAAGATGGATTATATTCCTTTACTTCTTTTACCAGGTTTTTAGATATCTATATATTGAGGTAGATAAAATAAGGAGAAATAAAAGACACATAATAATTACGTTTACTTTATTTAAGATAGGTACATTAATTAAGAGGTGACAATGGGATGGATCTCTCTGTCAAAAACTAATTTCGTTGACCAAAAAGTGCCATACAGCATTCACAATACTGGCTGTCGGGTCAACTTAATTATCACAATGGAATAGTTGAAGTTACTTATTTGGTTTAAATCAAATTTTATCCTAATAATAATGTTAGAAAAAACGGAAACATTTCATCTCAAAAACAACAAATTTTGGGATGCAGTCCTCTTCAACTTTCACATAAATCCCGACTTACAGAGACTATTGTTTTTTAAAGTAACTTAATTTAAATTTTTGAGATGGGCAACATTGTTGATCATGCCACTAGACTGTTCCTTAATATACAAATAACGCTAGAAACACGCTCCCCCAGTCTGTTGTTGGTACACTTCTATTGTATCCCCTTCTTCCATCTCCAAAGATGTTGGTGTGTCATTTTCATTAATTGGTTGACCGTCAAATCGGAATCTCACCACTTGCATTGACAGACCCTGTAATGTTTAAATGCATACAATGTTACAAAGTGATAATTTTTAACAATAACCGATCAATCTAAAATCAAATTCAAGACAAAAATGTTCATCTTTTGTACATTTTTTAAAGAAAAACTCAAAAACTATTACATATTTTGTAATTTGGGTAAGAGTAAGACCAAATGCCAGCTAAGAATCACATAAATTGTACCACAAAAGGTAATCAATGTACATACATTAAAAATAGACAAATTAAGAACCTTCTCTTTTTTTAAGTTGGTTGAAAGCATTATTTTAGTTTCTAATTCATATAAACGGCACTGGTCACAATGACCCAATATTAAGTAACTATTATGTGATTACACTAAGTGACGTTTTTCTCAATATTTATTATACAATTTTTTTATATGTGATTGCTCAATAAATTAGCTGCACAGAATCATGGTCACCCCTCCTATTAAGGGGCTCCGTGTCTATCCTAAGACAACATTGAATGTTATTTAATTGATTTTGAGTTACACATTTGTATTTTCTTATCAAGTTGTGTACAGCAATAAATGTCATAAGTAGAATCTCAATATCTCAAATATCAATAAAAACTCAAGACTTGGGCTTATTGAGTCTTCGACATATAAAAATGTTTAAGTGTTCTATGGGGAATCATAAAATGTCAGTTTTACTACCTACAACTTACTTCATTTTTGAAATATGAGATACCAAGTATTAGAATGCCTATATAAGGAAATGACATTTTATGCAAAATACTAAGTAATTCAAGATACTCAGTATTTTTTTTTAATTATAAAAGGGGCAAACAAGCCGGGAGATCACTGAGGTGGTCAGCGACGCCCATGGACATCCGTAAAAGCAGACGAACTATAGATGTGTTGCCAGTATTTACAGTTTTAGCCGAATAGAATGGCATTTACTACTTATTAAGGATTATGTTGCGATTATATAGATTCCACTATAATTTTTAATCCATATATGATTTAAATATACATACAATTAATGACAGCATGTCTAATTAGAACTATCTAATTGTGAGATTGATTTCAAGTATTGATTTAAATATAATCAGAGAAGGGGTTAAACCAGCATTTTAAATTTTACAGTCTAATATCAATTATTGCTTCACCTTGTGCAATTAGCAAAATTAAGAATAACTAATGTTTATAATGTATAAACAACAAACAAAAATGTTTAAACTAAATTCATCTAAGAAAGTGTAATTCCATTGACCCAAAAGACAAGAGACATAAAAAGCCACATATTACGAGAAAAATAAACTGGGTACCCAATTATCGTTTCATTATTATTGTGATACATTATACCTAGTAGATATTAGAAAACACCAGAAATATCTGTAGTTTGTCAGCAAAGTTAATATTTATGAACCAAGCTATCTATGCTTCCCGAGAGCGTATACTAAAAACATTTGTACATTAGTTTAAAGCATAGAATCTTGAAGTTTCTAATGATTACTCAGTTATAAGACAAATAGTGGCATATTATTAGACTTAGAGATTACAACTATGCATTTTAGAAGTAAGCATACGTACCGCTCGATCACAATAGGCGTTCATCAATTTCCTGAGGGGTGTATGTTTTTTAATTTTGAATTGGACAATTGCATTGTCTTGACCCAACACCTTTAAGTTAATATGTTCGCTTTCTCCCTGAAAAATTAAAAAGAAACAGTAGGAATAACACACCGAGATAAAGCATCCAAACCGAACGAAATAATAACCACATTTTACGCAAAGCGCCATGTCTGTAATTGAAGTTTTCGTTGTAAATATTTACGGTAATTACAAAGTATTTGTACCTTTTTTTCGTCAGACATTTTGAACACAATAACAAAGAATTATAAAAAGTTTAATAATTTAGACACAAAGTCTTCACTATGACAGTTTCTAGACCCGGTGGCGCGATAACGTGCAAGTGGCGTGGTAATGGCGACCGTTCGAGTAGCTTGGAGGATGCACGACAGTGCTGCCAACAAAACAGATGCGCATTGTACCACGGCGCAACTAGCGCGCGTCTGCGTATTTGGGGTTTAATTTTACAAATTCTGTTCTTAAATTGGTCTCCTTATTATTTCCAAAAACGAATAATGACTGTTCCAAATGGTAAAATTATTAAAATAATTATTTGTTAATGCTGTGTACTTTTGTCAACAATTTAGAGATGATGAATTTTACATTATGTCACAATTATATGCCACAGCTAAGGACAAATAATATTTTATTTTTTACCATTATTTTTCATTAGAATTTGATAGAAAAATAAGCATGTTAAGGTAAACATGTTAAAAAGTATTTATTTTAACTTTTTGCCAACATAATATCCGCTAGATAGGGATGTGATTTATCGATACGAATAACCGGAAGTTAATAGTGTTGTTCCTTGTTGATTTCGTATGAGTTCGTTCACGGTGTTTGTTTGGATCAGAGACATAAAAGAAACATTTTTTTGAATCTCTTTGGTTTAGAAAAAAATGTATTTCAATTTTTTTAACATTCTTAAAAACTCGAAACATTAGTAAAATGAAAAAAAAATATGTGTACTGTACGTTTATTAAATAGACTCTTAAATAAGTTTTATTTGACGCAGGGTGCGTTAAACTTTTTTTTGAATTAAAACAATTGAAGTAAGGACATCTCTAACAAAAATTGCTGTTTTTTGCTTTGTATTCCTGATCTGTAGAAAAGTGTACATTTTACAAATAAAATACATTATGCACGTCACTACAAAATTATTAACATCATTTTTTCTGTGCAAACGATAATTCTTGCAGAATTTACGGTTGTTTCCTGAAACTAAAGTTAAATGGAGTATTTCAGCTGTAACAGAGCATCGGGACTTTTTTCTTTTTTCCCTTAACGAACCACTTTGCATCAATTTTAACAATCTTTCCACGTAATTTAATTCCATTGGGGCCAATTGACGTTACTAAAGCTTCCCCGGCGTAGATTTAGTGATTTAAAAGAAAAAAAAATACTATTGGTTTGTTTATTGTAAAATTAACCGTAACGGTTTTCCGATTTCACAATTATTGCTTAGTAGTCGATTGGTTATTTGAGTTTTATCACTTACATCTAGTGATATCATGCTGTTTACCAAAATGCGACACCTTTTTAGTTCCAGGTGTGAATTTAATTTTTTTCTTTATATATGTCACAATTTTCGGTCATAATTGTCAAAATTACTTTCCGTGTAATATTTTACATAGTCTTCTTGTGAAATAAGTTCTAAAGTAATAATAAGAAAGCAAAGTTTACAAGCGCGGAGGTTTTAATAAACATTTTCTTAAATTGAGTGTACGGTATAAAACAAAAAGTTTTTATTAAAGTGGAGCAGATTATAGAATGAAACATCGCATTTAGAAGAGTAGATTTAATCATACAAGAACATAAACTTTAAGAACGGACGCACACCTTAGACTAAACTATCGCTCAAGTGATGTTCGATTGTCGATTGTTTTGCACCCAATTCGATTGTTTAGTTGCACAACTAAAAATCGAGTAGTGTGCGAACCACCATAAAAGCTCATAGTAAGCAAAGGATGACCAAACAGTTGTGCTATAGTTTAGTTTCAGATGTACCCACACTCTTAGTTTTTTTTGCACTAGCAATATATGTAGTCGTGAGTTTGAATACCGCCATGCACAGTAAAGTACACAAATAACCTGAATAATCAAAGGATAGCCGATTGGCGGCAATTGTGGATTAAATTTTTTCTATATTAACTGTGCTGTTTTGTGCCAATTTCATTTTCGCCATTTGGCGCTGACGGTTGCGATTTGTATCGGTGGTGAGGATTCGAACTAATAATAGAGAAGAGCTGTCATGTAAAAGGAATCCAATCCATTTACCTTTTTCACCATGATACCTTCAGTCAATTACCTGCGAACTGTTTTAAAGCTCTTTACAAAAGTCGTTTGTTACGTAAATATTTTGTACTACCTGTTCCCCGTGACTTCACTCGCGGGAAATTAAAAAGTAATACGAATTTTGGCAAAAGTATTTCGTAAAATCGGCTCCGTTATTTTTGCGTGAATCAAATATATGCATAAAGCCAAAAATACAAATCTTTCCTCTTTAAATTATTAGTACAGATTTAGATATTTGGCTATTGTATGAACTGGTTACGGGTTAATAGAAATTCAATTAAACATAATAATCGATCGATTTAAGACCAAATGATTTCATAAAACTTTTTTTTTAATTTTCTCGTTGACTAACTTTTTAAAATGTCGTGTTCAACGTAAATGAACGATCCGTATGCTTTGGCAGTTATCGATGGTTGTTCATGTCGCAGCACCTCAGGGATTTTTATTTTTTAACGCTTTGTGCGCTACGTAATATTTATTACCGTTCACTCACTGGCATATTACAAGTTGACTTTTAAAATAAATAAACACCTTTTAAAAAACCCGCATGAGGAATCATCTGTAAAAGAATGCGAAAGTAAGTGAAAAAGCTCAAACAGATTCGAAGGTATTAAAAACGCCATGGTTAGAAATGAGCTAGGTGTAAGTTATAAGTAACTTCTTTATGTAAGGAATTCTGTTTAGAATGTACAGAATTCATTCAGTAATTTAAACCGTAACTGTGATTTTAAAATAATAAAACGCAATTAAACTGGTTTGCATTTTTGCTATGTTTTTTAACAGGCGCCTATGGGTAAAACTTCATATGGAATATAAGAAGACCAAAAACGTTTGAACACATCCGTTGATAATAGTTATTGAATTCATAAAAAAATATTGTTAAACAATTTTTGTTATATTCATCAAAGAAAACGGGCTTAAAATTTGATAAACATATTTTTTTTAAATAACTCTGTAACAACGAAGTAAAGGAGATTGTGTACGGTAACTAAAGTTGGTAGAGCTTTGCAAACATAGTTTGCATGTGACGTGCAATTAACGAGATGGGTTTTTGGCAAAATGTTTACAAAATCGTTATAGAAGTATTTTCTTCTTGAAAGTTTCATTCCATAATAAAAGTCATCCACGAAATTGCTGCGCTATCGACAATCTATTTAATTTAAAGAGACGAGGAGTGAGCACGTAGCTGACATAAAATTTTCATTAATGTAACATGAATGATGGCATCAAAGATAGACTATTACTTTACTATGTTTTTTCTTAAATTATTTTAGAATTTTATCTGTGTAAATTGTCGTTTAACAAATAACCAAATTCTCTATAAGAAAATACGAAAATTAGAAAAAATTATTAGATTGTAATGATACCAGCAATATCTTAAAACTATGTATTTAACGAATAATGAGTATAAATTACACTTCATAGTCATACTTAATTTTTAAATGGGAAAGTTTGAATGTTTCTTATTTCGTTACTTTAATATGGCTTATCGGATCGCGTAATTTGGCACAGATCTAAAACATCGTCTGGATGATTACATAATCGTGTTTATGTTTTTTCCCGTTCGTCAACGTCACGGGCATAAGCTGGCAAAATTTAAGTGTAAAAAGCACACACACCATCTTGTTTTTCCTCTTTTGGTTCATCACATAGAACATTTTGGACATTTAAGGTCAATTAAATATGAAGAAAATATAGTTATGATATTTTCTTCTATAAAAAGTAGAAGTTATTGTTATTAAATGTAATAAAATATGGGAGAAAGATGGGATAATTGTAAGATAAATTTTCTTTGTTCATTTATATAAATATTCTGTTTTACCACAAAGAATATAGGCAGACAATGTTTAGTTATATAAGCGACCTTCGCTGATTGGCATGGACGTCAATTTGCTTCAGTATAAATGATTTACCACACTACTTTCCATATAAGTACTTTCTTTTTGGCCAAGATCGCGTTTTAGTAGACTACGCATTATGTTTCAATAACCATGATAAAATAAAAACCTGCGCCGAACCTAGTCACGTTTTAAAAGGGTTAACGTATGCTTAAGCAAATCGTATTTGAAACTCTGTCTAAGTTTTTTATGGTAAGGCTTTTACTTTGTGTTTATAAATTAAATGTATCATAAAAATAAGTATAAACGGTTCTTCTTTTTTATATTTGCCAGTAGAAAAACCAAGAATAAAATAGAAACTAACTTGTTAAAAGAACATAATTTTTTATAAGACCATTATCTCCAGACGGTGATATATTAGGTGCATAAATCTAAGCAGACTCCGTACCGGCAACGGGCAGCCGGAACTAAATAATGTGCATTTTACGTGAGCCGTACTTGGTTGCTTGCAACAGGTTACACAAACGAGTGCCTACTTTTAAATTTACCACTGGGCACTTTGAGTGCACGAGAGTTTTTTTAATCTACTCCAAAAACTACACGTAGTAAAAGTAATGACAGTGAATTTATGTCGCCAACTAGACTACTCAAAAGTAGCCTAGTTGGCGACGTAAGTTTGTTACGATCACCAACGTCTTTAAGAGGGACTTTTTATATTCTTTAGGGGAGGCAGTTACTTCCCACTAGCCTGCGCCGTGGATATACCCATAAGGTTCTTCTGGATTTTAATTCAATAACGTTAAATTTTGAGCAAATTTACGTAACATGAAACAGAGAAAGATGTATGAGATAAACATCTTTTAAGTACCATGCCAGACACGAAAAACAATCTTTTATTTTTAAAACAAAAAAGTTAAAAAGTTGGTAACATTTGGCATTTAACGGTTAACCTTTTATAAATTAGGAACAAAACAACAACTAAATGTATAAACATGTATATTTATAAAGTTCGCAAAGCTGTTTTGAAAGCTTGAAAGCAATGTTTATGGAAATACACGAGGGTTTGTTTTATAAACGTCTCGCGAAGTTTGAGAGAAATTCTGCCGACCGTACATAATTTATACAGTCGTGTTGGCTGTATTTTATTTTGCGACAAGTTTAATTGTGATAGACTGATTTATTCAATAAAAATATCAAAGTGTTACTTTGAAGTATAAGAGAACTATAACTGATTCTATTAGTCAATTTT